TCGATTATTTATGTTTTCATATAGCTGGAATATTGCTGAGTGCCACGTTAAACAAAAAACAAACAATCAGGACATCTTACCTTCTCCTTGTTGATGCTCTTGATGGCCCAGGACTTGCTGGTGTTCATCATTATGAAATACTCATGCTGTCTTGTGCTATTGACCCGTGAAGATGAGGGTAGAGAATAGGTCTTCAGCAACCTATGCTTGCTGAAAGAGACGACTATGTTTGTCGTCAGAGGTGACTTTCGGATCGGGTGGTCAAGCTCGCTGTCTTGGTTGATGCATGTCATCGTATCCCAATTGCATAGATCGATGCTCATGATGTCAATCACTGGATTGTCTGGTCCAGCTCGATTATTTACAGACCGCCGTCATAGAGCTAGAATATTGCTGTGTGCGACGTTAAACAACAAACCAACCAACCAACCAACCAACTGTAGAAACCTATCTCTGCATATTCTTGTTTCACATTTATGATGTCCTTGATCAAAATACAGGTGAGCTACAGTCCTGTGGCTCTATTTTTAACTGTGGGCTGTATAACTGGCTTGGGCTTGTGGTTATATCTGGAGAAGTGGTGTTAGATATACAAGTACAGTCTACCCTGTCCTGCTGGGATATTTGATAGGTGTGTGTTGTTGAGGCGCCGCTGATGGTCGCTTATGATTGTCCAGTATTTCCCTCCAGGAACTTGTAGAGACTCAGGTTTCTCAGCCTTGTGTTCATGTGACTGAAGCTGTGACCTGGTAATATTGTGTTGAGGACACAGATAATGATGTTGTTTTATAAAGATGTGATACGTTGGGTTGTGATATGATACTATCCAGATACTATAGGTGTGATGCAATTTGTATCCCCCTTTACAGTACTTTCATCTCATTTGTTGATATTCTTTCATGGGGAGGTTGGGTAGCCTAATGGTTAAAGTGTTCGCTCGTCATGCCGAAGGTCTGGGTTCAATTCCTGAGATGGGTACAATGTGTGAAGCCTATTTCTGGTGTCCCCCTGCCATGATATTGCTGGAATATTGCAAAAAGTGGCGTAAAACCATACTCACTCACATTTTGCAGGTGAATCAACCCAGAATCATTTGTTTTTTATTTCAGAGTTCAAAGATAGGATATTGTACTGTTGTAGTGTAGAAGGTAGGGTAGAGGGCACTGTGAATGTTACGCTATTTGAAGCCAACTGGAAAATACAAGAAAATATGCCTATATAATATAATGTATGGTATGTTTTGCGATACAGGGGTTGCCAAGTGATATATTGTATCGTGGGCCTCGTATCTGGATACAATACTGTATTGCTGTATCATTAAAACAACTACTAACTTTAAATTGGTTGCCTAACTTGCAATGATACTATGGTTAAACTACATTGATCCTCATTCTTACGTTATTGTTATAATGTTTCAGAAAAAAATCAGAAATAATAGCTCTGCACTTTTTTGTCTTTTTATAATTTGGATGAGCTTTGCAAATATGGCCTGAAATAACATGAATCTTAATTTGATCTATCAGTAACAAATACAGTTTGTTATGAGTTTTGTTTTAAATTCTATTTTTACAGCAAATACCTACTTGTTTTTTAAATGCCTAGATTTGATCATGGAAATCATGAAAATTAGAAGCTATATAATTATCATAAGAGAAATCATACTATTATGAATGTAAATAGACATTTTGTTCATTTCATTTGTCATAGTTCATGGATTGTAAAAGTCTTCTGGCATAAAAAGAACACCTTTGTATGTTCAAGGTAAAACAACATTCTGCATGGAAAACAGCAACGACCTTTAATTAAAAAACTCATCTGAGGTGCAGAGAGAATGTTAATTTCCCCTGTGGAATCAAAGAACTGTGTCTAATATCTTTTGTAGGATTTGTGAAAGTTTAATGAAGAAGGAAGGCATTAGGAGAGAAAATCTATAGAGGTGACCTGGATCTCAGCCACCACTACAAACTGCTTCATCACCTGTTAGAATAGCATCCATTATTTACGCTGCAGCTAAAACAGGTGCCCATCATGGCGCTAATCTCTTTTGCCACCTTCTACCTTTAATATTCATGTCGTTTCACATGTAACATATTTTCCCAATGTGTACTTCACAAGGCAGAACAGGGTTAGAAACTAACAGTTTTCGACCACTAGTCCTTATAATGATAACATATAGCAAAACCCTTAAAAATGGAAATTTTCTACTAGTCCTTGTGATACCTTTAGGATTGGGCAGTTTGGCAAGGACTTCAGGACTTGCGCCAATTTCTAACGCAGCTGATGTTGCTGAAGCAGCTGAAGTGATATGATGAAGCTAGGTGATGCTGCAGTGTGTCCATACAGATGTTACCTGAGGGAAATACAGGAACATGCCCTGCCATTGATTGCCATCTTCTGTGGTGCTGTTGATAAGGGTACCCTTGTGCCAAACACCCTCAGCACTGTGACTGTCAAAAGTCTATGTTAGGGTATGGGAGTTGGAGGACCTTAGGGCTAAGATCGCTTTGTACTACGGCACCCTTATGACTTGATTACTGGGGTACTGGTGTTTGTTGCTGCAGTAGTCCTTCTCTCAATCAGTAGCGATATGTTGTATTCATTGAATATTGTTTCTATTGTTGTGAGATCGTTGGTGTTTGAAGGTGGATAAACATGGTGCATTTTGAAGAAGAAAGTAGCTGCAGTGCTATGAACAGCTTATTCTGGAACTGTCCAATAGTTGCTGTCTGTGTTTAGACTATGGCCTCACACTGCATACCATTGTCACAGTCCTGTGTGACCCGTGAAGATCCGCGGTAGAATAGGTCTTCAGCAACCCATGCTTGCTGTAAAAGTTGACTATGCTTGTCGCAAGATGCGACTAACGGGATCAGGGGGGCTGGCTGCTGCTGACTTGATTGATGCATGTCATCGTATTCCAATTGCATGGATTGATGCTCATAATGTCAATCACTGGATTGTCTGGTCCAGACTCAATTATTTACAGACTGCTGAGTGCGGCGTTAAAGAACAAACAAACAAACAAACAAACAAACACAGTCCTGTGTTGAATCTCCTGTTGTTTCAAGGACATCCATAAATATCTTCATCATTTGTAGACATCAGTCATCATTAATTGATGGCCTATATTTTTGCCTCTCAGAACTCTGGTAACTTGATCTGGCAACATGTTTCCCTGAAGATTCTCTGCGATTTTCTCACTCAGGTGTTCAAAGCACAACTGTCAATTGCTGAATCCTGCTGTTCAGTGATGCATACAGTGCACCCATGGATTACTGGGTACATTCCATATACCCAAGAGCCCTTAATCATGTGTTAATACACTTGGTCTTATTCAGGGCAAATGACTGTTTCTTCCTTCACCACTGCTCACCTGAATAACGTTTATCAGTGATAGAAACTAACATTTTTTTCCACTTGTCCTTAAGATGACATCATACAGCAAAACCCTTAAAGATGGCAAATATCTACAAGTCCTTTACCTATACTATAGGGCAGTTTGGTAAGGACTATAGGATGAGTGCCAATTCCTATCACTATTTGTATTTCGCCAAACGTCAGAAATAATCAATTTTGACTTGCCGGAAGGACACTTTTAACATGAGGCAGATTGCTAAGTGACATATTTTCTTTGTTATGTCATGAGTAGTAATACTCAGCTTCTGCTGTCACAGACTCCAAGGAGCCTCAGTTCATTGCAAAGAAACGTTACTCTGGAACCTGTTGATCCAGAAAGGCTACCTTCCATATGATTTGTGTGCCTTGTTTCAAAAGTGTATTTGGTGGACAAGGCTGGGACACCATGATAGCATGTCATCTTACAGTGTCTAAAACTAAGTGTTCCCTTATTAATTTCCATCAGTATATATAGAATATCCAAAGAAAACTATCAATAACCAATGTGAACATTATATTTCCGAATATGTTTTATTGTTCCCTTATTTGTTGCCATCAGTATATTTTACTCCCTTAGTTCCAAGTCTATTGGGTATTTTTCAAACCGCCTCCGTGGTCCTGTGGTAGACCTAGAGAGTGGAAGGTCTGGGGTTCGATCCCCGTCTGCGTCATACCAGAAGACATTAAAAAATGGTACTTGTTGTTACCCTGCCTGGCACTCGGCATTAAGTTGATAAAACAAGGACTGGTCGTCTTGGATCAGTATACAGTGTCAATGTGGGGTATTCATGTTAAAACTGCAACATGGTTTCTCACTGGGCTTGCACTATAAAATCAGCAGTCGTCTGGACTAGTAAAAGCAGTCACACTCGAGGGCATGTTTAACACAACGTTAAACCCCATTTCACCCAACCTCACCCATTTTTCAACCAATGAGGAGACTTGTTGCATGAGCTCACAACAGACATACAAGTCTCAGTTACAATAAGTGACACATAGCCATTTTGTGCATTATTCACTGCGGTAGAGTTTATTAATGATGACTGCATTTGATCAGAAAATATGGATGTGTGAAGATAGTTGGGTACGCAAGCTGAAAAGGCTTCATTGGTTAATTAGGCACAGTGTTGGATTTTTAAAGTGCTTCATGCATATTTGTACGTAAGCAACTAAGCAAATTAATTGGTTTATGGTGATTTATTTTGCTTTTCTTATGCAAACACACAGCTAATCTGTAGCTCTGGCAATGCATGTCTATATACATGTATGGTCTGTGCCAAAAACATTTGAATCTACAAGCCCAAACTTCAACAGGCTAAAGTTGCAGACTCCATACCCATTTTCACTAAGTTCGTTAATCGCGATGATTTCCATGGGAACGGTGTTGTCTGGATTAACAAGGTTTCATTGTGGAGCCAAAGTCTGCTATTCACGGGAATGATAACAGTGCAGGGGGATTAAGATATGTTTTGTTATGACTGATATTTTTCTATATTCAACATTGTTACACTAAGTGCTTGTTCTCGTTTACACAGGGCTTAGATTAGCAGTTCCTGAGAACTGGTCCAGTTGGTCATACCGGTAAAATGAGGATGTTGTTTCAGATGTTTATGCCTGAGGTGATGAGGGTCGCAAAATGACCACAACAATTCCACACATACGTATTGCTGATGACAGCGCAGTCAAGGAGAGCTATGAGGTGGGGAAGAAGCTTGGGCAGGGAAGCTTTGGGAAGGTCCATGAGGCCCAGCACCGAGACACCAGCAAGTCCTGGGCCATCAAGAGCATCAACAAGGAGAAGGTAAGATGTCCTGATTGTTTGTTTTTTGTTTAACGTGGCACTCAGCAATATTCCAGCTATATGAAAACATAAATAATCGAGTCTGAACCTCCAGACACTCCAGTGAAACCTCAGTTGGTTTGGCTGTTTTGTTGTTTTACGCCGCACTCAGCAATATTCCAGCTATGTGACAGCGGTCTGTAAATAATCGAGTCTGGACCAGACAATCTAGTGATTGACATCATGAGCATCGATCCATGTAATTGAGATCGATGACATGCATCAACCAAGTCAGCGAGCCTGACCACCCGATACCGTTTGTCACCTCTTATGACAAGCATAGTTGCCTTTTACGGCAAGCATTCTAACCCTGATCTTCACGGGTCAAAGATGTCCTGGAACAATATGAGGCCAGTCTGTGCCAAGTCCACAAGCCTGAACTTGGCTCTTAGCATAATTTGTTGTACATTTTAGTGTTATCATGTGGACCATTGTTAACTGAATTACTAGACTGAAAAGAATTTTACTTCACTTGGACTAGTGGCTAAAGTTGCACACTGGGCGGGACAGGTAGGGGAAGAGATAGGAGTAGTGTGTAGATGATATGGGATGGTGGTAGCAGACAAATGAGACGGTAGGAAAGATGGGAGAGGTGACTGGGGCTTGGGGGAGACATGGGTAGATAATGTGTTGTGGACATGGCGGAGAGCTCGCTTTGAGGTTTGAGCAACATTGAGGAGTGGTGGCACGTGGTGAGAGATGAGAGTGCAGGACAGGTCCAAATTGGGAAGAGATGCCATGGAATTTGAGGTGAGGGTGAATTAGAGATGCCATGGAGTTAAGAGAGAGATGCTATGGGATTTGAGGTGAGGGTGAGCTAGTAATGACATGGGGGTTTAGGTGAGGGTGAGTTAGAGATGCCTTGGCGGTTTAGGTGAGGGTGAGTTAGAGATGCCTTGGCGGTTTAGGTGAGGGTGAGTTAGAGATGCCTTGGCGGTTTAGGTGAGGGTGAGTTAGAGATGCCTTGGCGGTTTAGGTGAGGGTGAGTTAGAGATGCCTTGGCGGTTTAGGTGAGGGTGAGTTAGAGATGCCATGGGGTTAAGAGAGAGAGATGCCATGGGGTTTGAGGTGAGGGTGAGCTAGTGATGACATGGAGTTAAGAGAGAGATGCCATGGGGTTTGAGGTGAGGGTGAGCTAGTGATGACATGGGGTTTTAGGTGAGGGTGAGTTAGAGATGCCATGGGGTTAAGAGAGAGATGCCATGGGGTTTGAGGTGAGGGTGAGCTAGTGATGACATGGAGTTAAGAGAGAGATGCCATGGGGTTTGAGGTCAGGGTGAGCTAGTGATGACATGGGGGTTTAGGTGAGGGTGAGTTAGAGATGCCATGGGGTTTGTGGTGAGGGTGAGTTAGAGATGCCATGGGGTTTGTGGTGAGGGTGAGCTAGTGATGACAAGGGGGGTTTAGGTGAGGGTGAGTTAGAGATACCCTGGAGTTAAGAGAGAGATGCCATGGGGTTTGAGGTGAGGGTGAGCTAGTGATGACATGGGGGTTTAGGTGAAAGTGAGTTAGAGATGCCATGGGGTTTGTGGTGAGGGTGAGTTAGAGATGCCATGGGGTTTGTGGTGAGGGTGAGCTAGTGATGACAAGTGGGGTTTAGGTGAGGGTGAGCTAGAGATGCCATGGGGGTTTAGGTGAGGGTGAGTTAGAGATACCCTGGAGTTAAGAGAGAGATGCCATGGGGTTTGAGGTGAGGGTGAGCTAGTGATGACATGGGGGTTTAGGTGAGGGTGAGCTAGAGATGACATTTGGTTAAGAGAGAGCTTCCATGGGGGTTTAAGGGAGGTGGTGAGGGTGAGCTGGAGATGACATGAGGTTGAGAGAGGTGTCATGGGGGTTATATATGACAGTTCATGATAGTGGGATGTCCTGTCTCTTGAACTTGATAGCAGTAATGTAGCCTGAAAGTTGTATGGTATTATGTGTGAAGGTCACTCTCGGTGTTTGATATCGTGATAGTACTTAGTTTTTCTGGAACTCAACCTTAAACACAGGACTGTCCGACTTCTTTTTGAAAGCGTTTGTCTTCAGAATGTTCTCATATATGACCAAATCTACCCTACTTGCAGGCGGGGAGCTCGGCTCTCAAGTTGATAGAGCGGGAAGTGGCCATCTTGAAGAGAGTAAATCATCCTAACATCATCCAGCTCAATGAAGTACTGGAATCCCCAACGGTAAGGGGCACCCAGTTGTGATAAGACTTGTCACTGTCAATCATGTCAGTTGCCAAAGACGGTAGGAAACTATTTTTGTATTAACTTAGATGTCCACAAAGTAATCCATGCCTAAATGTGTCACCACTCACCAGTGACATGAAGTAGGTATGTTGATTTGTTTCAGACTTTTTTGGCATATTTGCTCAAAGTTCTCTGATCTTTATCAATAATTTATCCATATATAGTTAATGATTATTGATCTCTATGATCTCTATTGATCTGTGTGGATAGCCATGACACCCATGTGTGAATAAGTGACTATTGTCATCAGTAGAACATCTTTTGATCAGTAGTTTTTGACGCACAGAATTTCTTCTTAAATGTATATTCAAATCTGGTGAGTGAGTGAGTGAGTGAGTGAGTGAGTATGTTTTTTTGCTGCTTTTAGCGATATTCCAGCAATATCACAGCGAGGGACACCAGAAATGGGTTTCACACATTGAACCCATGTGGAAAATCGAACCCGGGTCTTGGGCCTGACGAGCGAACACTATAACCAATAGGCTTCCCAATCGCCCCTCATATCAAGTCGCACAGAATCTAGTTTGTCAGATTGTTTTGTCAATTGTGGAATTTTTCAAAAACAAGTAAATTATGATAAGTTACTATCATTACTTTGTGGTGAAATATTTTTTTGCCATGCCCAATACGTGCCTTGGTTTCATCAATAGGAATGCCTACTGTCGAGATTGTTCCGTTCCTACTTATTTTTCAGCAACCCCCTTTTCTATTCATCAAGGATATCATTGGTGCAGTTAAAAAGTGACACTGTCAATGTAACAAATTAAACCATGCCTCTTAAAATCCACTTTGCTGCCTGTAAAAAGGTGTGTTTGCCTACTTCTGCTGCAGGCAATTATTTTACTTAATTTGTTAACTCTAAGTTAGGGTATCCTTTGATTCAAATTCTAAAGGAGCAAACCTCAAGCACCATAATAGAACACTGACTGTGTTGCCAAGAACAAGTTTGTCATTCTATTTGAACTATGTCTGTATGGTAAAAACCTTTATTTTAATGAAGTTTGTGTTTGACATGTTTGGAGTTAACTGCGGTGGAAGATGAAATGCTGCCTTACACCACTGTGTTGTTGTACTGGTTCTGTACTGTGTGTATTTTCTTCACAGCGGATGTTCCTGGTGATGGAGTTGTGTGATGGAGGAGAGATGGCTGACTCCCTGAAAGACAACAAACACTTTTCAGAAGCTGATACCAAAACTGTCATTAAAAGATTAGCAAGTGCAATCTCATATCTACATAAAAATGGTAAGCACAACTTTATATGGTTCCTCTGCATGAAGCCCTGTTGGGATTTGGCTAGACTTGCTCCCCGTGACCTATACTTGTGAGAAGAGACTTAGTTGATTGGAAGTTTTTGCTTGTTGTTTAATGCCAAACATTTCAGCTATATGAAACAATCAAATCTAGATTAGAAAATCCAGTGATTGACATCATGACCATCAATTTACACAATTGGGGTATGATGACACGCATTAACCAACTAAGCGAACCTGACCACCTGATCCCGTTAGTCACCTCTTGACAAGCATGGGTTGCTGAAGACCAGTTGTTTACACTTAGTGGCTTGGCTGACTGCATTTCATGGTGTGGATCGTTGGCCATACTTTCAAATAATAGCTTGACACTCTGCTGTGATATAGCTGGAATATTGCTGACTGTGGCATTATTCATTCACTCAATCACTCCTTAGTGTTAAGTATGTGAGTTAGAAGTAACTGTATATTTCCTTAAGATTTATACATGACTGCACACTTTCCAAACTAGGCTTTTAAGACAACTGGAAGGCTTCGTGTCTTCAGTTTGACATAATGTTCCAGCAATATGAACAATAATTTTAAGTCTTTAAGTGGCATTGAGAGGTGGTACACATAAGGAAGAGAATATATGGATGTCAACTTCTTTATTATTATGAGTATATTCGGAGTATATGCTTACTCCTTCATCAGGTGAATGAATGCTATGAGTCAGAGAGCATAGATATATACATGTAAGGACAGGTAAGTACAACAAAATTAATAAGATAACAAAAGGTGGAAAAAAACAAAGGGTAGAAACGAACGGGGGAAGCCAACAGATGATTGGCGCTGAAAGGTGATTAGCAATAGACAATGGGAGCCAACCACCTGATGGAGGAGTAAGCATGTGCTCCGAAATGTGTTCCTCATAATAAAGAAGTTGACATCCATATATTCTCTTCAAACTGGTAATAAACTGACAAGTTGACCAACTCACTTCATGTAAAACATTCAATCAGAGAGTTGTAGTTAGTCTGGAGAACTGTCTGTGTGACTGCTGATGTTTGCATTTGTTTATTTCAGACATTGTACATCGAGATATCAAACTAGAAAATATTCTCCTCAGTCAAAACCCTGATGATCCACACGACAAGTTACATATTAAGGTAGGTAAACAATACAATGTAGTCTCATGGTGTTCATCTCTTTTTTCATTTGCTCAAAAATATGTTCGGGGATGCAACTTAACCTGAAATATTGACCAGCCCTAAAAGTGATCAGGCTGAAAAAGAGATCTCCCATAAGAAACCTGAAACTCTTCTATAGCCCTCAGGGTACCTTCAATAACAGACAAACTGATTGGACTAGTGTGTTGTATGCCATTAAGAATAATAATGTTTCTCAGCAAGTTTCAAAATGACTAGGTCACAAGGCTTATTTTTCTTAGTAGACAGCGGGGTGGTGGGGTAGCCTTGTGGTTAAAGTGTTTGCTTGTCACACAGAAGACCTGGGTTTGATTCCCGACATGGGTACAATGTGTTAAGCCCATTTCTGGTGTCCCCCGTCGTGATATTGCTGGAATATTGCTAAAACCTGCGTAAAACCACACTTACTCACTCACTTAGTAGACAGAGAGCTAGTCAAAAGTCTTTAGCAACTCTTAGGTGGAGGCAAGAAAAGAGCATGAACTGTTTGTGAAACAAGCTATGGTGTTATATGTTTGTTGATCATGTTGATGAACTACTTCCAGGTGACTGACTTTGGATTATCTGTAGTGAAGGGAGGCGCGGGACATGACAACATGATGCAGGACTTCTGTGGTACACCAATGTACATGTGTAAGTTCCGCTTCCCTACACTGGTGCCAAGTTGCTGAAATAGGGTTTAACATTGTCTTCATGATTATTTCACTTATATGGAGACGTGTATGTATGTGTGTGTGTATGTGTGTGCATGTGCTTGTGTGTGTGTGTAAGTGTGTGCATGTGTGTGTACATGTGTGTGTACATGTGGCTGCTTGTACGGTCCAGACTAATGCTGGTTTTATAGCTAGCCCTCTGAGATACCATGCCACAGTTTAACACGGATACCCAACTCAGACAGTATACTGACTCCGAGCCGACCAGTCCTTGTTACAAGAGATATGAGACCTGTGAAGATCCGGGGTAGAATAGGTCTTCAGCAACCAATGCTTGCCCTAAAAGGCGGCTATGCTTGTCGTAAGAGGCGACTAAAGGGATCTGATGGTCAGACTGGCTGACTTATTTGATGCATGCCATCGTATCCCAATTGTGTAGATCGATGCGCATGATATCAATCACTGTATTGTCTGGTCCAGACTTGATTATTGACAGACCGCCGTCATATATTGCTGAGTGTGGCGTTAAACAACAACAATCAAACAAACAAACAACAAACAAACAAACGAGATATGAAGGTCATGTTATTTGTCTTGAGGGAAATATCTTTGGTTCTAGGATGACCAACATTTATTCACACCTGGTGTACTGGCTTCCTGAGATGGCTGAATAGTCAAGGTCTTGTCAAATGGTTGTCAAAATCAGGTTGAAGCCGGTATAGACAATATCATCCTCGATTATCGAGTGGATTATGTCTCCAGCCTGTTGCGATACATACCCTGGACTCGTCAATCCCACTGCTTCCTTTTGAACCTGTTTCAAATGGCAGGAGGCTAAACTTATCCATCCAGTCCAACATTAGTCATGAGCAGTATGGTTCAGAGTATTTACCAACCCAAAATGGCTTCCACAGGAGATGCCGCTTGGGTGAGATCAAGCAATATCAATCACCCAAGTGAGATAACTATAATGAAATTTGAGTTAAAAGCCACACAAAATAAAATAAAATTAGTTTGACTAAATTTTTGTTTGCCTGACCAGTAACCACTTCATCTTTAATGGACTGGATATCCGACAAAATTGAAGGAACTATTTAAAAAATGATTTGCTTTTTTCTATTTTGACTCATCCAAGCTAATTGTTTGGCAAATTTCCGTAAATCATCAAATGTAAAAAAGCGTGGCCTTATTATTACCCATAATCCTTCTTTACACAAGTAATAATAATTTGTTTTGTGTTCTTGTGGAGATAAAAATAATTACCCAGAAACCAAATGATACATAGTATTGTGTGTGTTGTACACACAGCAACTCTTACATTAGGACTTTTTAGCAAACTTCATGCATATTCATGAGTCGGACCACCCTTTGAGCCCTTGAATTTGGAATCAGTGATAGCAGCTGCAGTAGTAGCTTGTACAACTTGTACAGCTTGTATATTGTGGGATTTTCTGTGTAGGAGTTGGGTGTAGTCAGATTGCATATTCCTAGCAACTATCAATATGTAATCAGCAACAGGCAAATAAACCTTGTTTTTTTTCTGCATTTATCCAAGAGCTGTCAGCTACAATCCATGCAGGGTTCAACTCTCTCACAGGCAGTGTATTTTTGTTTTGTGTTGTAAATCACTTTCTGGCTACAGATCAATTCTTGAAACTTCCTGCAAAATCCTATAGCAGCTTTACAATTGATTGATATGAACATGCACAGATGATTGACAAACATGTCATAACAATATGTATGATGACAATTTTATTGATATTTATCAGCTGTGTTGTAAATAATAATTAATATTTTAGATAATACTAGGGGCATGGGTGGCCTTGTGGCCTAAAGTGCTGTAATTAGTTGTGGAGAGTTGCGTCCCTTAGTTACACAAGGATCTGGTTTGAATCCCAGTGGTAAACATCAATGACATGTATGACTTTGATCTTTCCTATCCCAAGTATGTCAAACACAGTTTTCATAGTGGCATAAAACCAAACTCATTCATTCCTATGTTTTAGATTATTGTACTGAGATAGTTCCTTAGCAAAGAGCATGAACAAGTCATGCAAATTTCTTGTTTAACATTGAAAGATTAAAAGATATGAAATATTTCCAGCACAAATTCCTTCTTAATAAAGTGTTTATTGTTGTGTGTATTGATTCCGAATCCATCACTCTGTCAGCGGATGTGTGGCTGAGTGAGCTCACACAGAGGGCCCTCTAGGCTCTATTGACCTCTGTACCCTCACACATCACTCATCTCCACGGCAACAGGACTGGCTGTTGCCAGGGGACTGCACCCCACAGGAGGGTCCTGACGGTGTTACTGACTAGCGTAAAATGACACAAAATCACTATCGTACGAGTAAGATTTGTCAAAATGTGATCGTAAGAGTTAAACGTGAAACAACATTGAAATACTACTTAGTGTTTTAGTGGGAAAATGAGAATAATAGTTTCATTCTTCATTGCACTCAGTTATGGTGTTGAAGTATTATTAGATGTTGGCCAGTCTAAGATATTTGGTAAAATATGAGTTCCATTGAAAAGAGTGAGTGAGTATGGTTTTACACCGCTTTCAGCAATTATCATTATCACGGCGGGGGACACCAGAAATGGGCTTCACACATTTGACCCATTTCGGGAATTGAACCTGGGTCTTCAGCGTCACGAGCGAAAGCTTTAACCACAAGGCTACCCGACTGCCACTGATTGAAAAGACTGAAAGCAGAATAAGAAACGGTTGTAACCGTGTTCAGCCATTTTCTAACTATATCAAATGCGAAGTTTTGTCTTAATAAGTATAAGTATTTACTACCAACCTGGGTACAGACAGTCTGGGTACAGTAATACTGACTACTGGCCACCCGCATTAAGACCCCCCACAACACGTGCTGGCTTCAGCACTGTGGGGGAGGATGTTCATCAATAGCTAATGCTTCTGGTGCCGGTTATTGTTTTACTGTGATTACATCAGAATTCTTGTGTTGGTGCTATGAACCATCCTGCTCTAATATTGAATGTCATTGTTACTGGGACAATCAGGACATCAGGACTGACCGGATAACTGAAAGCCAAATATGATGGTGTTGTTAATTAAATAGCATATGCTTGGTAATCATATTCTTCATTCTGTTGAGTTTTGATTGCTTGTTTGATTGTTCATTAATCATGAAATATTATTTGACCAAATCTGAAGCATAGTTTGTCACTTGTTGACAGGGAAAACAGCATCTTGTGATGTTATTATTTATGAATAAATAATGTGTTGAGATTTTATGCAATGAGGACTGTTTGTATGGTTATGTGATGCCTCTATGTGGACACAGTAGCTACGTGGTTTGAATTTGTTTAGTGTTCTTTGTTGTTTCCATAAATAAAGAGTGCAGTGTTTTCATTGATATGACAGCTTTAGTTTAGAAGATCTGCACCTGCAGGGTCATTTCTATGATGAGTCCTGTGAGGGTTGTGGGTTAGAACTGGTCCTCAGAAACCTATGCTGGTCAACCAAATGGATCGTGTGGTCGGGCTTAGTCATTTGGTTGATAGCAGGTTTTTGAACCCTGTGTCACAAATATCAATCACTGGATTGTCTGGTTCAGATTCGATTATTTTACAGGCCGTCCCATAGCTGGAATATTGGTGAGTGCTGTGTTAAACAACAAACAAATCCTAGGATAAGAACCCCCGTCCCCCCCCCCCCCCAGCAGGACTTGGATGTGAATGAAACGAACTTCGCTTGAATATTTGAGACCAGTTGGTTGATCAGTGTTGACTGTAGCAGAAGCACAGTTAGGCTGCATGTTGTGTGATTGTTTATCATCTCCTACTGGTAAACAGCATCTTATGATTAACCCATTTCACAAAAAAGGGTTTTTGAGGAAGTGAAGTTGTCTGTCCATGTGGATTACAATGAGACTCTTCTTGTCAATGTTGTAGCGAGTGAAGCTTGTTTCTGTGTCAGCAGCGTCATGTAAAGTCCTATTCTGGTTGCAGCCCCGGAGATAATCGACAACAAGACCTATAGCCAGCAGTGTGACGTGTGGGCCATGGGGGTCATTATGTATATCATGTAAGTACTCGCAGCAATTTTAATAACATCTTCCAAGTTTTATACACATGCAATCCATTGCTAGTCACCTTTGTAGAGATGTATATAGGCCCTGTGGAAACTTCACAATAGACAAACAAATAAATGTCTGACAACTTGTCAGTTTTGCTGGTAAAAACCCACATTGAAAGTAGATGGAAAACAAATTTTACTTTTATTGTAATTTGAATATGTGTTTGCAAGAAATCCTGATTGGCATAATTGTTCACACAACAGTAACAATGTTTGAGATGACACATGATGCGTTTCATATTAGCTGGGCTGTTGGTGTTACATTGGTAGTATTGTATTTCTGGTCCCCACGTGACTTCTGACACAGACCCGGGGTAGAACATGGTAGTTGTAGGAGCAAGGCATTGTATAGGGATTGGATGGCCACAATGGCTACTATTAGGGTGAGTGACTGCTGGTTGGCCGGGGTCCTGTTTCACAATACAATTGTATTGATACAACTTGTAACTCCCACTCTGTAACATAGACATGCCACTGTCATAGCACAGGGTAACTTCAGGGAAAGGGATGCTCACACTATCGACCCCTGGTTTGTCAGCTCCAGACCTGATCTGTGTGTATTGGCTGCTCTGATACAGCAGTAACATTTCTGACTATGGTGTATAATGTTCGATATGAACTATTTCAGGTTGTGTGGGTACCCACCATTCCGCAGTAATGATGAAGACTCCTTGTATGAAATTATCAAGAAAGGAGAAGTAGATTTTAGTGAGGAACCATGGCCACAGATCAGTGAAGAAGGTAGGGAATGATCTGATAGTAACAGAAAGGGGTGCAACGAATATACTATGAGGTGAATACGATTCGTATCACGAATATAGGGTAACGAATACGAATATTAAATCACAAATACAATAACAAGTCAGCAGTTGATTTATTATTTGTTATATTCAGTGAAAAAATAACAACATAAAATATTTGACATGATTTGTTAATTATTAATATATAATACATTTATATACTGCACTTCTCCAGGTATTAGTATCTGCTCAAATGGGACAATGATCACAATACTGTCAAATTATATATTATAAGAGTGTTGTCCTTGGAGAAATCTGTGCATATAATATGTTCTTATGGATATTTTTAGGTACAGGGTATGTAAATGCACGATTGCATATTCATAAATATTCGATTCTAGTGGCCTCGATTAACAAATTCAGTTCATGAATGGATATGGTTCGATTCACTGAATACGCGAGTGAATCATAACAGCTCTAGTAACAGACAGTATGACAACTCCACAGTAAATTGAAAATATTGCTGCTGTGCATGTTCACTTCAATTTTCAAATTCATTTCATTGTGTATCTTATTACATTTTCATTGCTCGTTACATTATAAGGGGATTTGACGTTAAGTTGACATCAAGTTAATTTCATGTTTAGTTAATTGAGTTTACTTTCCACTGTGAACCAGTATCTATGGTAGTTATTCCCCTGTTATCACACTCACTTGTTTCAGTACTTGGCTGTGTAATACAATTTGATTTAAACACAAGCCTAAGTCCACTGACTTGTACGTTACAGCAAAGATGTGTATCCAGCGAATGCTGAAGGTTGACCCTGCTCACCGGATGTCTGCGGCGGAAGTGCTGGACCACTCCTGGCTAACAGTAAGTCGAGGCCTACATTGTCTGTCTGCTAGTAGCCTTATTTGAAGTGGCACTGCTATCAGGTTTTCCACCACTGGAAAATGTTCTCATATCCATACGGTGCAAAGGTTAGTGTCATAAATTGATATCCTTCCATCGTCTTCTTTCAAATGGACCAAGGCCCACTTGCTGAAAGCGATCTAAGCACTACGACTCTTGTAAGCCTATGTTACAGCATGGGAGTTACGCTCATCTTAGCGCTAAGATCGCTTTGTGCAAGTGGGCCCTGGAGAAAACTTTTGGATTAAAATTGAAATTATTATTGCACCAGGAATATATTATTCTTTCATGTTAATTTGGTTGCTGCTTTTATGATGTATGTTAAGAAGAAAAATAATAGTAAGTGTCAAACTTTGTCATGGCTGCCTCGGTAAAGTTTGAAGTTTGAGGGCAGCATCCTGAGATTGGCTATACATTTTTATGATACAATGGGTAGGTTTCTCGGCAAGATAAGGCCAATGTATAAAATGGCCAGGTATATATAATAGGTCAGGTAGGTACTACTTTCAATGTTTATGCACCATCAGAGCTCTGAGGTATTATATCTCAGCTACGCAGAACCACAGAATGAAGAGAGAATGGCTTTTTATCTCTTGCAAGCCTTTGTCAGAAAAGGACATTACTAAGGTTACTGCGGCAACACTGTGATCAAGTCGGAATTAACCATCAGGGAACTAGACAAAATACTGGGATAATTGTTATCATTTTCAAAATAATACTCCAAGATACTGAGAATCAGTGTCTAACAGGGAAGAAGCTGATGCCTGTTACAAGGTTAGGCATAGAAGAGACACCAGGCTGTGGTTGTCCATATTCTGTGACGCATGCTTTGGTTTCCCTAGGGCCAGACCCACGACAGCACGAAGCCAGTGAACGTTCTGGAGATGATGAAGGAATGGGGTCCGGAGTTGAAGAAGGGGGGAAGCTGTGAAGAGAACCCTGAGAGTGCAATAAATGGGGACAGCCCAGACGGTGACATCAAGGAGAGTGCCTCCTCCACCAGCGACAACACCTCCCACAATGCTGCACCGGATGCCGCCAAGGTCAGTGCCCAGTACTAAAACATACATTTTATTAATACCTTGATAGATGGTTCAAGACAAATGTTTCCATGAAAATGTGTGTGAATTTTATAAAAGTTTGGGTTATTTCTCTATCATGTTTATCATGGCAGATGTGGAATTCATTTTGTGATTACTTCTGATACAGGGTAGTTCAAGCGATACAAGGAAGGGATCTGGAGGAGGCAAACGGTCCAATGACAGTCGCACACCGCCTAACTCTGGTACCAAACATGGGGTAAGTAGACAATTGAACGCTGCCTAACTCTAGCACTAAACCTGGGGTAGGTAGAGAGTTCAGTAATGCCTAACTCTAGCACTAAACCTGGGGTAGGTAGACAGTTCAGTAATGCCTAACTCTAGCACTAAACCTGGGGTAGGTAGACAGTTCAGTAATGCCTAACTATATCACTAAACCTGGGATAGGTAGACAGTTCAGTAATGCCTAGCTATAACACCAAACCTGGGGTAGGTAGACAGTTCAGTAATGCCTAACTCTAGCACTAAACCTGGAGTACGTAGAGAGTTGAACACTACCAAGCTAGTTTCAATTTAAATTTTTAAAACTGATCAAAAGATGATGATTTTGATGGAATCAGTCATACAGCTTGCCTGTAACTGTCATTCAGAATGCGCTGTGTTAACTGTTTTGATGTTGCATGATTAGAAAATGCATTCAGACTTTCACTTTCACGATCTTGTAAGCGAGGCTTTGATTGGTCAGAGGAAAGGTCCTTCTGTGTCCTTCACTGTGTATGTTCACTAACCATGTTCACTATGTGTGTTCACTATCAATGTTCACTATCAATGTTCACTTTGTGTTCACTAACCATACTGAGTCCCACCCATGTCGAGTCCTAACCTCATGTATTGTGACTGCAGGCTACAGGAAGAGGAACAAAGCCCGGAGGTAGTACAGGAGGTGCCACGAGGATAAACCCATCTACCAAACCACCTGCCACACAGACAGGATCCAAACCAGGAAATACCGGTGGAAGGACAGCTGGTGGTGGCACCGCCAATAAGAAAACTGCTGTGAACTCGAACAATACAAAAACACCATCTGCTTACACAAGAAACCAAAAGAAATAACCCCAAATTAGTGTAGCATTAAGTATACCCTTATTCCAACAGCACTGCTGTGGATGGTGACTTTACAGTATGTGTGTATATATTTTACATCTATGTATCGCTGAGTGAAGTGCTAACAGAAGATTACCGGGCAAGAAGATCCTTTCTTCAGGAGCAACCATATGCTGATCAGTCAGGTCACATGACTTGTTAGTAGGTCACATGACTTGTGAGGAGGTCACATGATGTGTTGGCAGGCCATGTGACTACAGGGGTTTTTCTGTGTGCTGATGCTGCGGAAGTTTAGTGTGGAAGGGGAGATAACTTGTTCCCGCTGTACTGTTGATTTATATGTAGCTTGCTGATTGGTTAAATTAATATAAATAATCATGTTTTTCTCATTCTTGATTACATCATGGTTGACATTTGTATTAATATATTTTTTTGTGGGAGGGTTGAAATTTTGTATTGAGACTTTGTTTTTGTAGACAGATTAAATAACAGGACGACTGCACAAGTTTGGTTTCTATCCATGTCCAGTCTTTCTCCCTGCTTTGATTGAAATTGATTGTCAAGTGGCCAAGTCTCAGACAGTGTTGGAAGTTGAATGACAATTTTTTGTAGTGAGATCGACCTTGTTGTGATGTTTAGAGATGTGATATTTTAGACGTAGCCTTATCCAAACTGCTGTGAAGAGTGATAGGAAACAAGTGCCTTTCCCTGCTTGAACAGCCATTCGGCATTACACTTTCCTACTTCTAGGAATGTACCAATATTGTATATTCAAAGTTTCAAATGCATTTATTTTGTTAAATGTGTGATATGTAAAAAGATCCATTGTATAGAATAGAATCGTGATAAGAAGCTTGTTATCCATGTCCTACATATCAGCAGTGAGTTTACACCACAAAGTACAAGATCAGAGCTGCACTGGAAGCTTTTACCATGGCCATATTCTACATAATCAGACAAAGAAAAATATACTCCACACTTCTCATCTCTTTTTGAAAATGTTTTCCCGCTAAGCACGCCCCAATACCCAACAGTTGTGTGTCCCTTGTTATGTGCACATGTATGTCCCCCAGCTCCCTACTCTGCTCCCTGAGGCCATGCACTGTAGTGGAGCTCCTGGTGTTGTGATATATAAATCTGATATTGCACCTTTTCAACTGGATAAAGGATTCAAAATAGCCAATTCTCTGTCATATACTTTGATGTGTTTTATTGGTTCCTGTGGGAGCATAGTAGCTGTTCCGAGCATCCTGGATTTATGATAATTGACATTTATCACAAACCTGAAAATTCAAGTGACAAACTTATACACTATAGCTTAATCAGTGTTTGAAATTAAGAGGCTACTTAATGTTTTCTTCTGTAGCATTTAAATCAATATATATATATACCTCTAAATCTTCAATTTTTGACAAGGGTTACAACAAGGACCTATTTTCATGCTTAATTTCAAACACTGCTTTATTGGCACCAGTTCTGTATCATAAACAGTGTTGGAAATTAAGCATTGGAAAAGGACAGATAGGAAAGGAGTCCGGGTAAGATGGGATATACATGCGAGACACGGTAGATTTGTAAGTCGCAGATCTGTGGCAGTTTATCTATCTTGGCATGGCATCAGACAATGTAGAAAGTAGATTTTGTATCAAATCCAACATTTTGACATTGAATAAAACTGCCTGTTGGGAAGGGGAAGGAAGCCAAAGGCAATGGTGAAATGATGAAAAAAACAGAAGTAAGAAGGGGTATGACATCAATTATTTCAAATCAAATCCTTATGGCTGTGTAGTAAGTGTACGTGTGGATTTACTTGTCACAATATTTTGGAGTTTTTTAAAATGAGGGCTTAAAGAGTTTGTTCAGGGCCTGCAGCTTCTAAAGTCTACGGATCTTGATGGCAGCAAGACATATTTTTTTAATTTCAAACACTGTTTTCTAATACCATGCGAGATGATCATCCTGGAGGATGTACCAACTGTGTTATATAATGATGTGAAGCAGGATGCTGTGTGCAAGAACTCCCCTTGGTGACAGCAGCTTCTTTATAACACCCTAATGCAGATGGGTGTCCATTCTTGTAGGCCGGCCCACTTCTGTCATGGCTTGTCTCACTGAATCTACATACATATCTATGTTACCCAGTACAGATGTGCCTCTCTCTAATATCTCCCTCCCATGGACCAATTTATTAAATTATTCTTTACATTCCAAGTCTCGACTTATGACTGGAGAGTATGTTCCAGATTGACTGTTGCCATGTAGCTGGAATATTACTGAATGGCATTATTCAGCAAACATATGTTTTTAACATGATTTCTTTGCATACCAGCTAAACAGGGCTCGATTTAAGGAACTTGATTTAACTTGCACCAGGTGCATGTTGGCATGATAACCAAGTTGCACACACAAAAAAAAAGTGTTTCACCTTGGTTCCATAAGTTAATCAAAGTTGAGACATAGGCTGGTCAGATGCCAGTGTGACACAAATTAATGACACATTGCTGTAAGAAGTAATAGGACCCATTCGTCACCACTCGCCCCTTTCCGTAACCTGCAAGAAGACTCGTTCCCCTATCGATGAATGTTATGTGCGAAAATACGACAAACCAATCAAGTTCTTCGTCAAAGAATCCCTCAGAAATAATTTTTGATTTTACATATGTCTTGCATCTAAAATATACCAAAGACAGTTAATTGTGTTCAATCATACTGTATAATTCCGCACGTCCTGATGTGCTCTAAATTGCATCTGAAATGTATATAATATATGGGGAAAATGTGTGAACCATTATCATTGATTATGCAACGAGTTGACAATTGCTTTAGGTATGACGGAACCCGGTCGCATAAATGGCCACGAGAGGGGCACGAGTCGCTGTTCGGCTTGTCCCGGAATAACACGAGTTGGTCACGAATGAATAGGACCATGTGCCCATGATCTTGAAGTACCCAAAGTTTGGTGACGTCACCGCAAAGACAGCATGACAAATTACACGTAACACAGGGATTAGTGATGTAGTATGGTACATAAACTTTATAGGTACCGAGTGTGTTCAAAGATTGATTTTGTGTGGACACAAATTTGAAATGTTTTGACATGCACTTGGTTCATCATGACATAAATATTAGGTTGTGTTTTTCAATAATTGGTTGCACTGGTGCATGTTTTATGTAGCTAAATCGAGCCCTGGCTAAATGTAACACCTCAATATTGTGTGATATATGCATTCCTTACAGATGCTGATGTTGGAGATGTAAGCGAATAGGGCTTTGCACAGATATGGTATCTGTCCAAATATTAGGGTAAACGTGTGATAATAAACACAACTCCGTCCACACCAATCTGTATGTATCTCATTGGCCATATCTTTTGCTTCTGAGTTTTGTTATGATTGAGAGATATAACCATTTGGTCATTATCCATACTCTGTTTCAATGACTTCTGTGTGATGTATGTAATGTCAAGAGATTGTCTGGTCCAGACTCGATTATTAACAAACCACAGTCACATAGCTGGAATATTGCTGAGTGCAGTGTTAAACAACAATCAAACAAACAAGTCATGTAACCTGTTTCCTTGTGTAGCTTCAGTGTGAGAATGTGGATATACTGGTAATTACTGAGTCATAATGATTTTCTCATCAAATAAGGCAATTATTAATCTTTTTTTAATCGTCACATGGCTGCTGAAGATATTTATTTAAGTTAACTTGATGTTATGTTGAATTTATGTAATTCTTGCAGTAACTTCTGAACATGAAACACACAATGTGTCAGTTGTAGTATATAAATATAATAAGTGCAGGTGAAAACCCTCCCCTGACTGCCAGGCCACTGTCATTGGCTGAAATACTTGTACAGTGGCCTCAACAGTATCCGTCCAACCCCTCCCCTGACTGCCAGGCCACTGTCATTGGCTGAAATACTTGTACAGTGGCCTCAACAGTATCCGTCCAACCCCTCCCCCGACTGCCAGGCCGCTGTCATTGGCTGAAATACTTGTACCGTAGTCTCAACAGTATCCGTCCAACCCCTCCCCTGACAGCCAGGCCACTGTCATTGGCTGAAATACTTGTCCAGTTGTCTCAACAGTATCCGTCCAACCCCTCCCCTGACAGCCAGGCCACTGTCATTGGCTGAAATACTTGTCCAGTTGTCTCAACAGTATCCGTCCAACCCCTCCCCTGCCAGCCAGGCCACTGTCATTGGCTGAAATACTTGTACAGTAGCCTCAACAGTATCTGTCCAACCGACTGCCAGGCCACTGTCATTGGCTGAAATACTTGTCCAGTTGTCTCAACAGTATCCGTCCAACCCCTCCCCTGACAGCCAGGCCACTGTCATTGGCTGAAATACTTGTCCAGTTGTCTCAACAGTATCCGTCCAACCCCTCCCCTGCCAGCCAGGCCACTGTCATTGGCTGAAATACTTGTACAGTAGCCTCAACAGTATCCATCCAACCCCTCCCCCATACAGCCAGGCCACTGTCATTGGCTGAAATACTTGAACAGTAGCCTCAACAGTATCCGTCCAACCCCTCCCCCCGACTGCCAGACCACTGTCATTGGCTGAAATACTTGTACAGTTGTCTCAACAGTATCCATGCAACCCCTCCCCCATACAGCCAGGCCACTGTCATTGGCTGAAATACTTGTACAGTGACCCGGAATAATATCCGTCCTCTCTCATGTATTTCAAGTACATGTATTCAGAAATCAGTGTTCTTGGTAGATATTTGTGTGAATATTTTTTTTGTAAGTTTATTCCTGAAATTACAATAGTCTATGCAAAAAAGTGGTCTTCAATCTGTGATGATATTTAAAAAAAATTGGACTTTGTTGTGCAAAAATAATATTTCAAAGATTATTTTTGTGTTTTATGTTCTTTGGGAGGTACAGATAAGTTTTCTCTACACATGTACTGACAATTGTTAAATCATGGTTCAACATCTATTTACTAATCCATTCCTCCATGTTCCTCTGATGTCATTTTACAGAGATCAGTTTTGGTAATGGCACTTTACTTTCTCTCCCCATGTAAACATTTCAGTAAATTTCTTACAGCATATATACTACACAACTTTGGATAGGGATATTCAGATGTGTCATTCTATTTTAATACACTTGACATATTTGAATTGTTTTTTGTGGATCATGGAAAGATAAAAATATCCCCATCAAAAGTGGAGTGGTATTTGTAAGCTTACTGATATGTGGGTTTCATCAATAGTTTCAGTCTCCAATGAGAATCTGGATTGTGAAACCCAAGACTGATCGTTACTTCCAGTGATATCAGTTTGTTTTGATAAGTTTGAGGGATAATAAAAACTAAACTGACATTACCGTATTTGACATAATAAGCGCCCAGGGCCCTCTCAAAATTAGAAATAGGGTGCTCTTATTAGAGTATTATTTTAGTGAAAAAAAAGAGTTGAAAGATCGTAAATTTCGCGTTTTTATTCTGACATCCTGAAATGTTTATACACGACGGATATATTATTCCAGAATTTAAATGCCCACAGTTAAGGGTGCATATAACACACGAGTGTGTATTATACACGAATAAATAAGTCTTGTGTTCATTGAACAACTGGAAGGGGTGCTAAGTGGGTTTGTTCACTAGCCAATATATTAGCAAATATCACTGTGGGCGCTTACAAGAGCGGGGCGCTTATTACGTCGAATACGGTATTTTAAGGCATGTTCCTGTTGCCCTGTTTCATGGTAGATGTGTTTGTGTTGAAGGTATAGAGAACAATATCATTCAATTTTGCTGATTTATTTATTGTTATTCACACAAAGAGCACAGAGAAAGAATGCACTAAATAGTTATTTTTTTCTGTTCTATTTTGTGATCGGTTTTACTTTTTCAAACCAGTGATTGATCTTGAACATTTAAATAATTTCCTAACACTAGTCACAATAGCTGTTGAGTGTGATCAGGGCGATCTTAGTGCTACGATGATCGTAAGTCTATGTTGAAGTATGGGAGTTATGATCACCTTAGCGCTAAGATCGCTTCATGGAATGGACCCAGTACTTGATTTGTGACTACAGAAGACAGTCAGCTGTGACAGATGGCATTGTATCCTAACTGGCAGGAATCATTGGTAATGTTATCATCCACCGAGTTGTCTGGTCCTAGCTCAAATCAAAAGCCAAAGTGACATAGCTGTAGTTTGCTGAGAGTCGCATAAACCCTGTTATACTTATTTGATTCTATGTCTAGCTGTGAAGATACAGTGAGCTTCAATATGGTACATGTGATACTTGTTCTACAATATGATATTATCCGGATATGCTGCTGTGATGTGACCTTTGACAAACTGAAGACAAAAATTATTTAAATATGAATTCTCTAATAAATCTGTTCGTTTGAACTTTATCAAAGTAACATTCACTTTTTCATCCAGGGCCCCGTTCCACAAAGTGATCTTAGTGCTAAGTCGATCATTACTCCCATTCTTTAACACTGACTTACGACAATCGTAACGCTAAGATCGCTTTGTGGAACGGGGCCCAGTCCCTTTTACTTTCAGAAGTAAACACATGAGGGTCCTGAGGGGGTTTACTGTTTTGTGTAAACAGCTGAAAGAACTATTGTAAATGTACGATGCGCCAAATCGTAAAAGCTCCATAAAAACTACATAGCACAAATTAAAACTTTACTGTGTGTCTTAATTGTGCTATAATCTGGTAAAAGTTATCAAACTTGATCTAACAACATAACAAACAATTTAGTGCTTGGTATTTGCAAAACACCAATTGCAGTAATGAAATGAAAACAGTGAGTGAGTGAGTATGGTTTTACACTGCTTTTAGCAATATTCCAGCAATATCATAGCGGGGGACACCAGCAATGGGCTTCACACCTTATACCCATGTCGGGAATCGAACCCAGGTCTTCGGCGTGATGAGCGAACGCTTCAACCACCAGGCTACCCGACCGCCCCGAAACGAAAACAGAACCAACTGTCCCCACTTTTCCCTACAGACAGATTGACGAACCTCTTTGCATAGAGATGATTTCGAATTTTAGATTCATCATGATAGCTTGTGTACTACATGTATATGCATGTTTTGTACTGAGCTGAAAAAATAATGATCACTATACCCAATTTTAACTGACCACTGACACACCCCATCAGTCAGGACCCTCAGAGATATACAAATAGGTTGACCGGTACAAAAGGCTGACAAATGCTAATGAATGTTATATTATATCTGCAGTTGAGTATCACGACACTTGGTTGAATCGCTTCAGCCCAAACTCCTGTTTCTGTACATATACTTGCAAATGTCTGATTATATCCAGAATCATTGTTCTTCCTGCTAGAAGTGACATCTCCCAGGCGTAGGACCTTCGTGTGACTGTAGCCTGCAGCTGACTCCGTCAAACGTCTGTATTTCCTTAGATTCTCTTTGTCTTACAGCTGATATGTACAACTGTCTGTCCATCCATCCATCCACATCTTTGATGGTTGCTTGTTAGTGCAAAGTCATATGTTGCTGTTGATTAATAAATATTTGAAAGTCGGACGTTTGTGTTCTCAATGACAAGTGATGAAGGATATGCATTTGTTGGGCTTCAGTCCTGCCCCACACTGAAGCACATGTAACAATGTGGTGTCTCCTCCGGACTTTGTTCGAAGGGTGTCTCTGCTCACCCAGCAGTGAATGGGTACCCGGTAGGATGAGATGGCAATATGGCCGTTAAGCTTCTAGCACCTAACAGACAGCTTGGGTTATATGTATTGGAGCTGAGAGTGTTGCTTGTGTGCACACTGATCCAGTGACTGGGGTAATGATAGCGCTTTGAGCATGCCCCTGATTGCATGCGCAATATAAATTGCCTTTTATTATTATTATTACTGTATTCGATGTAAATCTTGGCCTCATCCAGATTACTGACTAACACACAAGACATGTTCATAACATGATCGCCCTTAACTTTTATTTCTATTTAAACTGTATTGACATGTCTTGGCCAATTCTAAATGTAAATGCATATTTCTCATGTACCATCATCCTATGGTATTTTTGAGAAAAAACATTTGAAATATAACCCCAAAGTTGAGTCCAAGATACAGACTTGACCTTCGATTGAATCATAAATTATAATTACCATCATCAGCAAAAAACACAAATGTGCAAAGTCACTTGAAGAAATACTGAGTGTTAACTGAATTTGCTTTGCTATGAAACTCAGTGGAGCCTAAATACAAACCTGGTTCCATAAAAATATCCTTACATACACATGTACTTTCTAATGTGGATGTAAAGTGTCATGAAGAAAAGTAGGACCAAGGTGTCTCAAAGGAAACGATCAAAGACTGATATCCTGAACACAATATCCCCCAAGTGAAATGCCATTGGGATAAGGGAGGTAATCTCACCTCAGGACCATCCTGCTGCCTTGTGAGTGAGTGAGTGAGTTGGGTTTAACGCCACGTTTAACAGTATTCTAGTTATATCATGGCGTGTCAGCTTGGCTTGTGAGTGAGTGAGTGAGTGAGTGAGTGAGTGAGTTGGGTTTAACGCCACGTTTAACAGTATTCTAGTTATATCATGGCGTGTCAGCTTGGCATGCAGGTCTCAGACGTTTACCTCTTCAGTGAAAACCCATGAGCACGGGTATGGTGCTGACCAATCTCATTAAAATTAGATCTTAGTTCTCGCTATTGCTAAACAAAGATCAGGACATCCCATTACGGGTCACGACCTTTCATCCGACCAATCAAAGCGTCGCTTACCAGATCATGAAAGTGACAGTTGGAATGTGTTTTCTAATCATGCAACCTTGAAAAAGTTAACACGGGGTATTCCAAACAACAGTTACAGCCTGTACGACCGATTCCGTCAAAAATTATTGTCTATCTCTCGCTTCCATGGGATAAACATTTGAACGGAGGAGGCGTTGCACAGTACGTGGGAAGCACTGCCATACAATCGCAACCATATATTAGACATTCCGGAATGTTCGTTTGTTCAGTTTTACAAAATTTTAATCGAGAACTGTGTCAACATATTTTTCGAGCGTAGTCTGAAATGGAAGTCCCCTGGTTGAAATGAGGAGCGTAAAGCTCGTAAAAGCTGCTTTCTAATTGGCTGATGTAGACTTCTTGTTAGTCGTTTCAGTGGTCGGTTAAAGTTCGCGAAAGGTCGTTCTGACGTGACCCGTAATAGGATGTCCTCAGATCTTTGTTTAGCTGCAACGAGGACTTAGATCTGATTTTAATGAGATTGGGTGCTGACAAACCTAGAAACATAATCGGGGCGAACCGGGATTCGGACCCATAATCATAGGTTTCTGGCGTGTAAAAGGGATGCAACTCTGCACAGCAAATCGCGGCGCCTTAGACGACTGGGCCAGCCATGCCCGCCTGCTGCCTGGTTTGTTGATCAGAGATTGACAGTCTGGATCATGAGACAAAATGATTCTGTATTGGCATTTTGGTTGCCATGTCTGAGTCTGAAACCTGTATTAATGAATCAGTTCTATATGTACAAAAACACTGAGAGACACAATGGCAATTTAAAACAGTTTCATATAGAAATACTCATGATTTTATTCTTCATGGATTTTCATGGCAAATTGATAACATGATAATTGTGATTGAACTGATATCAGACACAAATAAGAATGGTTGATATTGGTCACATGACACTGTGGTAACCCTAGCAACAGTAATAAACTTGCTACAAATTATCCCTTTGACATGCTTGAAGACATTAACAAATGTAAACAATTTAAACACATTTCATCATTGTTGGTCAGCTTAAAGTGAGTGAGTGAGTGAGTTGGGTTTAACGCCACTCTTAACAGTTATATCACGGCGTGTCAGCTTAATGTGGGAGGTAAGCCTGAAGTGATGCAGGTCTCAGACGTTTACCACTTCGGTGAAACCCACAAGCACGGATAAGGTGTTGACAAACCTAGAAATATAATCAGGGCGAACCGGATTTCGAACCCACAAACATAGGTTTCTGGCGTGAACAAGGGACGCAACTCTGCACAGCGAATTGCAGCATCTTAGACACCTGGGCCACCCGTGCCCCCGTCAGGCTCAAAGAATTCCTCGGCAACAACTGCATTGATGTAAAGAGACACTGTGAAGGGACTTTTCAAAGTGAGTCAGTCTTGTACACGGAGGAAATAACAGGATCCCAGATCAATACCATCAAAACAGATATTACTAGAAATCATTCCTGAACAATGTTTACAAACCCCACCACACCTTTGCAGACCAATATGAACCTGTAATACAGAATATATTACACATGTTACCAAGGTTACATGTGTAATACAGACCATATACTGCATGCTTTAAATGAGAGATATGGTACACAGAACATACCACATGGACAATAAGGAAGATCCCACTGAACATCTCATTACGTAAATATCTATCTACTAGTATTTGTTGGATCACTGCTCATCTGGTCCTAAATATATAATAAAAAGTTACGATTATTGTTTCCTCGTTCACACGCAAAAATATTTTGTAATTACTCAATGGTTCATAAAAAACATCAACACTAATCGCTAGAGTTAAGAGTTCTGTCCCCCACACTGATACACAGACTTGCCCAACCTAACTCCCAAGTCTTTTACTCCCAAATTTTGCACCTATAGAGTCCAAAACTCAAAGGTATGTATTCGTGGCTGATGTCTTTTGTCCAACCCTGAAAAAATCAGTGATCCAAGAAATAAACAGAATTGCACAGTACCTGCACAGTACTACACTAATTATCATGAGCCAGTGTGATCTAACACGGCAATGTCTGATGCCTACTTGCAAGAAGTGATGGAGGAATATGCTACTCATACTACTGCCTACTTAGGTAAGACTTCTAAAACAACTTGGTTTACCACTTCTACAACCCTAGATACATGCTTAACTAGCATTGCACATGTCAGCATATGCAGACAATGCTTTGAAGCATAAAAATAATTAATCTGAAATGTCTATTCTTAAAACATAAATTCTACCAACCAACCAAAGAATGGTAAACCAAGTAATAACTACAATCTCATTAAAATCAGATCTTAGCTCTATCGCTAAACAAAGATCTGAGGACATCCCATTACGGGCCACGTCAGAACAGCCTTTCGAGAACTTCTACCGACCACTGAAACGACTAACAACGCCTCTTCCGTTCAAATGTTTATCCCACAGTAGTGAGAGATCGACGATAATTTTGACGGAATCAGTTGTGCGACCGTAACTGTCATTCGCGATACCCTGTGTTAACGTTTTCGAGGTTGCATGATTTGAAAAGACATTCCGACTCACTTTCATGATCTGGTAAGCTACGCTTTGATTGGTCGGATGAAAGGTCGTTCTGGCATGACCCGTAATGGGATGTCCTCAGATCTTTGTTTAGCGATAGCGAGAACTAAAATCTGATTTTAATGAGATTGGAAATAACTACAAACTAATTCTCAAGAGATTCAGTACAGACAGTATTGTATTAATGTCATAAAATGAAATTGAAAAGGCCATTACAAACATGACACTGTGAATTGTCACGATGACCGCAGTAACTGATGAAACAATGATAACATTCTCAAAAGGAGATTGATAAAGGATGCCAGTGTATTGAATGTGCCTCGGTGTCTTCATGAGCTGGATTTTACAAAATTCATTTTCATTTTTTTGGCAGGGGATTCGTTTTCATTGTCATTTTTAGTTTCCTCGGAGTCGTCAGATTGTTTCCTTTTTTCACATTCTTCAGGTTTGCTTTGTTCTTTCTCTCCTGTTTCCTCATCCTTTTCTTCTGTTTTCTCCTCTTTCGTGCTTTCCTCGGTTTCCTGTTCTTTCTTTTCCTCATCATGGAAGCCGAGACCGACATGCCCACGCCGGCCGCCAATCCGACGATGTTCCATGCCTTGCTCATACTGCTCCTCCAACTGGGATGACATCCTCGTCACGTCATGCTCTAGACAAGCACACAATAACAATACTCAGAAATTGGTCTAAATTTGTTGTCGAAATAGTGCACGAGCTAACTACAGCATGCACTCCAGGATTTTATGATATTGTGACGTGTTACGCTTTGTCTACATAACACAATTTAGCCTCTAGTCTGAAGTGTGAGTCTAGTCAAATTCTGTTCGGTCAAGTAGGTGAGGTGAAAACGGGTTTAATGTTGCGGTCTAAATATTGATCAAAAGACCACAAATACAGTAATAATTTTATACATCATATCTCTATACACAATTTAAGTGTATACATCAATGACATAATTCCAAGTAACTAAACCAATACACAAATAATTCCAAGTAATGTATCCCAATACACAAATAATTCCACGAACCTATACCCAATACACAAATAACTCCACGAACCGTATCGCAATACACAAATAATTCCAAGTATCATATTCCAATACACAAATAATCCCAAGTATTGTATCCCAATACACAAATAATTCCACGAACCGTATCCCAATACACAAATAATTCCAAGTATCGTATTCCAAAACACAAATAATTCCAAGTATTGTATTCCAATACACAAATCATTCCAAGTATCATATTCCAATATACAAATAACTCCCAAGTATTGTATTCCAATATACAAATAACTCCCAAGTATTGTATCCCAATATACAAATAACTCCCAAGTATTGTATCCCAATACACAAACAATTCCAAGTATTGTATCCCAATATACAAATAACTCCACGTATTGTATCTCAACACAGAAATAACACATCATATCCCATTGCATAAATAATTCCACTTATAGTATCCCTACGTAGTAATAATTCATAATTCTCATGTTTATTGACAATATACTATATATCTTCAAACATAAAAATAGATACTTTCGCTCATGTGAAATAACTACTTTCAGTCCTACTCTAATGACACTGTGGTTTTTCAAACAAAATCGTGAAAATTATGCAGGAAAATGCATAATTAATAGAACTTTTTTGTTTCTTGTCAAATGGCATGGTATCTCATCAAGTGACGTGCAAAGTCGACATTTTCATGAATGGCGCAGCAATTTTCAGGTCACTTGATGAGATACACATGCTATTGGAGAAGACAACACAAATGTCCTCTGTGTATCGTATCCCGGTGCAGAGGTAATGTACCCCACTTACTGTCCCGGGCCGTGGCAGTGTCCTGATCTCCAATTACAAATCTGCCCTGGTGCTCCTTCTGAAACAGTCAAGATTTACTCTTTAACAAGCATGAAATATGTCCAGTTGCTATGGAAACTCAAAAAATATTTTTTTAAAACATTCCAGACTATCAACAGGCTCCAGTTTACCACTAGACCTATCCATGTGCCAAGTTTGGTGAAAAAAATGCTGTACGTCTTTCAATATCTCCTCCGGAAAGGAGTACGACCGTCATTTGTAGTGAAAGTTATTGCCATTGAACCTCGAAATTCATATTTAAAAAAACCAAAAAACTATCAAAAGGCACCAGTTCACCACTAGGCCTATCTATGTGCAAAGTTTGGTAAAGATTTTTCTCATGGTGCTTTGAGTTCTGCTCTGGAAACAAAACGTGACAGATGGACAGACAGCATGCATTCCAATATCCTTCCACTGTATGACGGAGATAATAAAGACAATTACAATGATATCCAAACAGCATGAACAATGTGCTGCATAAATATATATACAAATGATGAGTTACATCATTTCTTAACAAATTAAGCATGTTCATGAATGATAGATTTCTTGTTGACATCATGGCAGAATTGGGGCCAAAACCTTCAGTCCATGCCCACTTGTCCATTTATGTTAATATATAACACAGCTACACGATAAATCCAAAAGAACAATGAAAAAAGAAGCGTGGTTTATTTCACTATGAAACATTGTTCTATCATGACGTCATTTCTGGAGATTCGAACAATGCACTCACAACTTGATGATGTTGTAAATTGGACGACATTATTTTTTAGAGGAAGGTGTCTAACGAGTTGTTCCCCACATATGTAGCTGCGCCAAGCAGAAATATGCTATGGCCAAATGATCGCATCCATAAGATGGAAAGATAAGACAATCGGGGATAATTGACGGGAAATATTTTGAGAATACCAAACATAACCCCCCTGTACATAAAATGGACTTGTCCGACATTGCCAAGGTTCGACTGTACACAGGGTGACATTATTTACATACAGGTTAATGTCTTAAAAGCTTGTACATTTTATTTACATCCTTTAAAAGGCTGTACAAAATGTTGAAATAAACGCCCATCATGGTTTATTCTCCCTGCAGCGTTTTATTGTATGATAAACAGCTGCCACTCATCGTTTATTTCTTGAATAACATACAGTACACATCCGACATGGTTTGTTGTCATGATGGATTTAACTCACAATGTCTATCCTGGAGGACTTGCAGTGAAATTATTGTTAGTTGAATTAGACACTTCGAAAGTATCCAAGATTTTTTTTACATTAATATGTAAGGTGAGGTGAAATGGGGTTTAACGTCACGATCAAGATTATTGCACTTTAATATATAGCAACGTGCATGCACGTGTATGTGTGGCTGCTGTTTTTGTCCGGACTAATGCAGATCTTATAGTGCAGGCCCACTGAGGTATCATGCTGCAGTTTAACCTGAAAACCCCACTCAAATACAGTATACTGACTCCAGGACAACCAGTCTTTTTTTAAGCCCCTTAAAGCCGAGCACCAGGTGTGTTTCTTTATAAATTAACACTCAGCAATATTCCAGCTATATGATAGCGGTCTGTAAATGTCTTAATCCAGTCTAGACCAGATAACCAGTGATTGACATCATGAGTATCAATCCACGCAATTGGGATACGATGACGTGCATCAACCAAGGCAGCGAGCTTGACCACCCGATTTCGTTAGTTGCCTCTTTACGGAAAGCATGGGTTGCTAAAGACATATTCTAACTCGGATCTTTGCGGGTTACAAATCCTGGTATGGCTAAGGGATACAACTAGCAGTGAGTAGCAACACCATCTTGGCCTGGGTGAGTGAGTTCATATTTAATGACTTGCTAAATATGCAGCATATCAGCCAAATATCGACAACAGCAAATTTAATTCTTTAAAATATTCAAAGTGTGTGTGTGTTTGCTTGTGTATGCACAAATGATCCATTAACATTAACAGTCCATGCCATGAGGGGGGCATCAGAACACATGGAAGATTGGAAGATGTACCTTTGAGGCTCCCATCAACCTCAGGAACTTTGATTTCCTGTCTGCATCCCCAAGATCTGCCTTCTCCCAGCTGTTTGCAGAGTGGACCTAACATTACAAAGAAATATATAATGTTCACAGATTCAAGCACATATAATTCATGTTTTTAGTGAAGTCAGTACTCACCTGATGAAGGAGCAAGAAGTAACTCTGAAAAGAAGTTGCTATCCACAAAGAGTGTCACGAATTTATCATGTTCATGTTTGTTGTGAACAACAACAACAATAATCATGATATTCCATTGTAATAATAATTCCACACTCAAAGCATGCTCATTGCACTACATAATTACTCTTGTCTATTGGTCAATGTGATTCTAGTAGCTTTGTCAGCTCTTGGGGAAAATACAATCCAAGGTGATAGTTTTGTGTCAAGTTTGGCTTTCACAGGTGCATAACATCCTTCTGGGTACCAATTTACTGTTGGGTGAATGGAGCATATTTTAAACAGTCACTTGCAGAAGGAGACACCAAATGTTTGATAACATTTGATTAAGTGTGGGGTAGGACTGAGGCCTTACAAACCTAGAGACACCAAGCCAACAAACACAATTATAGATACTTTTTGGTGCAGGAAAACAATGGGGTTAAACAGTTTAATTTCCCAGTCTCTTCTAGTGATAATCTAAATTGTTCTATGATCAACTAATAGTATGATTAGACCTGTAAATGATCAGCTATACTTAATATACTTAACTAACATAATGTGAGTTTGTTGTTGGTCGCCCTACAAAGAGCTAGTGATGTGGTCACTTTGATGTGTAAAGCTATGTTGTCATGCACCACACTGTCGCACTTGTAGTAGTATCTCCATATATACTCGGACCCTGTGGTACCGCAGCATTCATCGTATCGCGACATTTGTGATTTCTGGTAGTTCATGCGGGACATGCCTCTTAGCGGCTGTCTATTAATGCAAATCAGTAACCAGGAAGTGATCACTTCATAAAGTATGGAGTTATTAATGCGTTGATACTTACTTCTGGCATCATTTTTAATATTGCCTTACCCCCATCTATCAATGGCCAACGATATAACCCGCAGTTCCCCAAGTAAACTTTCTCTATCGACCTGAACTAGATCATCTGCATATTCACTAATAAGGTAACGGAAGTTACGCAGTCCTAATATTTTTCCCAGCTATGTGCCCAGAAGCTATTGGGAGATCATAAGGGACATAATGCCAAACTTAGAAATACTTTTTTCACTAGTAGCCAAAAGATAAATACATACTTTGGGCATACTAGGAGTGCTTTTTATTGTTGACTTTTAACATTTTTCCATTTTGTGACAAATTATTGTCATCCAATTTATTTTATAAACAATCTTAGAAAATCATTTCTGATATTTTGTTGTTGACTTATAAAAATATTTTTCGCTTACTTTTCGGTAAATATGCATTGAATGCCTATTACTGATAACACATTTAGAAATTTACTTGTGCTGTCTTTGCACTTGTCTGAACAAATCACTGATGTCTGGCATGATCATACCAAGTGGTTGGTAGAATGTCCTCTTTTTGTCCAATTCGGACCTCCATACACAACTTTTCTCTGTACCGCGATACGATGGAGTTCTCTCCCTTGTCAAACAGAGTGCAAGGCCCGGCTTTTACTCAGAGCTACTGATGTAAATAATGAACTTTTATTAGTAAAATATGCATTGTTTGATAAAATAAATGATATCTGATATAGAGAACACGAAAAATCATAAAGGTTAGTGAGTGCATTTTGTTCCATTTAGCGTAATGACAAGTACCGCGATACCCTGAGGTTGCAGGCTAATTATGCAAAACAATATGCTCGAATATGAAAGGCTTGCATTAAGTCCTGTCTGTTCTTATTTCAGAATAAAGGTGTTGTTTATAAACAAGAGAAAAGTCTGGTTACGTGATAAGCCAACACTCATGGTGTGGTCACTTGAGTAGAATCTTCTCTCACAGAATAAGGCGAGCAGTGCATATTGAGCTTGGGGGTTCTCGACAATTAAACAATTCTTCAGAACCGTCGATGTACTGGTCTTCTAACTGAATTGTGCATGAACTAAAGGTATGACGTCACACTTAGAAATTATTTTATGCATGATTTAAAAACACCTACAACCGTCGACGTACTGTATCAGATTCACGTCTGTTAGTGACATGTATAATTAAATTTACATGATAAAGTTATACATTTTCTCCAAAATTATTCTCACATTGACCCATCGAACTCAATAACTGAAAATCGTTCTCCTGTGATAACTTGTGGAATAAAAAATACTGCCTCACGAGCACCTGTTCTCTGATCGAAAACCGAACAATAATTATCTTACTTATTACATCGAATAAAACACACAAAACTAGAAGTTTTGAGTTTCTTATTTGTTTTGCAAAACAAACCTTTGGCGTTGCAGCATCGCTTTCCGTTTTCTCTGCGGTGCTTTTAGTGTTGTCGTTTGTACTGTCACTCATTTCTGCGTTTATCGTTTCCAACTGAACGTACTCCGGAAGTAGGTGCCCGACGTTTGCGCATGCCAGCCCTGCAACTTCCTTTCACGATCTAACACCATCAAAATGGTGAGGGATACGACCTGTTCTTCCAAAATCCGTGTTCATCTTTAGCATTGAATCATCAACATTCTTAACTATGATTAATTTCAAATGTCCATTCTCGACACTACAAGTCTGATAATATATTAAGATCGTTGGATCTTTAATTATGCCGATATAGTGTCTTTGTTTACGGCTGTGTAGTTCAGGTACAAGAGATATATATACATCTGAACTAGCACGAGCTACATCTAGAATGCACCCTGTAAATTAGGATGATTTGTGTTCATATCAGGATCCCAAAGTTCTCAAACGGAAGGTTCAAAGGCTCTATGTGTGAATTTGAGCAGTGCATGCTTCTATTTTCGAATGAAATATTAAGAATTGCAAGAGCCTTGATGGTAAAGCTTGTTATTAGTGCACAGGCAAACGATATACATATCCAAACTCTCTTCAGCAGAATCAGTATAATTCAGATTGTGAGATGTTGTGTAAAACCAAGAGGCAAAGGCGTAGATAAACTTATTTTGGCCTTGATATGATTATCAAAATTATGCTGACATTGAACATACTCCATCTTAATGAGTAAACATGTTCTAAGTATTCCGCAATTGGTCACAATTTTTATCATAGCACCCCTTTAGCACAACGCTTTATTTAATATCGATGTTAGAAGTCATAATCATCTGACAGTGGGGTCCAAGGTTCTCAGCAATATTCCATCTGTATGACGGCGGTTTGTAAATAATAGAGTCTGGAGTGCAGGACCAGATAATCCAGTGATTGATATCATGATCATCGATTGCTTTAGAATTTGAATCGAGGGACATGAAACTTTTAACATTATTGGGGTTATGACGAGGACCCCTTGACCAGATCGGAGATAAACCCAAGATCAGGGTATAACTGGTATCATATATCCCAGACAATGCATGTCTGATAGCCCACTTGGCGTATGACATTTCGAAAATGATAGTACTCTTTTCCAAGATGCCCGAATAGTCAGTGGTACGCTGATGTGTAGGGGAGGTAGTTTCCTTGAATGACCAAGACGACAGTTGGACACTAATTGCTAAAACTGTTTTGAACTGAAATATTGCAAATTAGTTGTTTGACAATTTGGGTATGAAATATATACTCCGATTGAAGAATGATACTTGTGTGGTGTATTATTCACTCATCTGTAATTAACCTCTTAACTTCTTTGACTTGACATTCATCAGCTGTTCACTCTTATTTTAAACACTGAGTATGTGCATTTGTTTTAGTGAATCCTGATCCATAAGGAAGTTTTTTGAAGGTGTGAAAATGGTTACGCTTATTTACAGGTATCTCAAAGAGTTAAAGTATTTACTACAGGTCAAGTGACACAGATTTAAGATTTTGGTGTGATAGCTGGTTTTGAGGCTAAAATTACCTTATTACGCCTCTTATTCAATCCCCCGAATTACGATAATTGTTATATTTTCCACGAATTATTAACATGCATGAAATATTACGAAGCGCAAATTGTTAATGCAACCTTGACATGAAGCATTCTACAGCATGATTATGCTGACCAATGACCAATGAGAGCCATGCTTCACATAGTTTTAGAATATCCATTTCTCAGTGATACAGGGTCTCTGATTGGTTGTTTTAACACCCTGGTCATTGTATCGATCAATTTTTGCAGGCACAGACAGGAAACTATTTACATGTAAACTGATATTTCTGGTATCCCCCACCGTGATATTAGAATATTGCTAAGAGAGGCGTGAAACCAAACTGACTCAAAACTCTACATTGTCTTTCTGAAAAACAAGGGTTTTTGAATTCGTGGAGCTTTGACCTCATGTTAAACTTACATGTAGGCATATTACTCTTTATACCATACGGTTTACTCGACAGTTTTACTTTGGGTTGGCATTTATGGAGACGAGTATTTTATTTCTATGTGCTATGGCAATGGCATATGTAATCATGGTAATACTGTTATATTTTTAAAATTTATACCTGGATTCAGTGTAAAGCTAAGATAAGGGGGGATCGTTGTTGTTTGCTCCTAATTCAAGGGACGCCTTAAATCTTGTAACGTCAGGGCCTTGACAAGAGCCCCTTGACTTCCATACATCTTAACTTTGAACACTGTTGGTTGTTTTCCAGGTGAACATCCCGAAACAGAGGAGGACCTTCTGCAGAGGAAGGGAATGCAAGAAACACACCATGCACAAAGTCACCCAGTATAAGGCTGGCAAAGCCTCCCTCTATGCCCAGGGTACAGAACTGTTTCATCTTCAGATATATATAGAAAATAGAAAATATTTCATTGGTCACAAGGATTAGTGACTCTACATTACTTCTCAGTTAAGAGTTAATGTAGTGTTCATTCTCGTTGACAAAAAAAGAATGGCCCTTTTTGGCCACTAGTGATAAAAAAAAAAGAAGTCAAATGGTGCGCCACAAACTTCTAGGTGATTCTTACTGTGCCAGGGTGCTTGTTCCGATGTTTGACCGTCAATCTGTCATTGAAATTAATTTCTTGTGCTTAAGAGCACATTTCAGGAATCTTTATATTTCTATTTCGGTCAAAAAGCATTCAAGGAAGTAAAACCAATTAATTTGGAATAAGCAGTTTGTCCAGGACAGTGTTTCGACAGTTGTGACAACAGAGCTATCGTAGACATGCTTTTCTACTTGCTGTATGGCTTGCTGATCTCTGAAGTCATGAATATAGTTTCTACTGTTGCATCGCAAGATGCATGCATCACTTTTTACACACATGTACTTAGTTTCATTACAATACTCAACGGCATCAAAATACGCTTGATAACACAAATGCGCAACTTAGCAGTGATTTCAGATGTTTCGTGTTTGGATTGTCCTTCCAGCACAACTGTGCCTCTCTGGAATCTGTTGTCTTGGTGTCAACTGAGTCATTGATAAGGACAGAGATGGTGGTGCAATGGAAGGAGATTAACTAGCATTTCATGTGTTAATGATATCACTTGGACCTCTTTCTTAATGTCCAGTAGTGAGATCTGTTCCATGAGTGCAACATATTGTCCAAGTAAAAGTGGATCAAAGGATACCTACCTTTGAGAAATCATATATACAACAAGTTTATGTTTATGATATTTCCTGAATGTCTCTAAACTGTATCAGCTTTGTTTAATAATTTGTCATGAGCACTGTGGTAATTCTTGTACGTTGTCCTTACTTTAATAAAGAAATAACCTTATCGGTTGTTGTTTCATCCCAACAGGTAAGAGGAGATACGACAGAAAACAGTCCGGATATGGTGGTCAGACCAAGCCTATTTTCCACAAGAAGGTAACTTGTACTAGAGACACATTAATATTGATTTTGGTAATGGATAATGCTGAATGAGTATTTAACTTCTCCTCCTTCCTTCCTCCTCCTTCCTTCCTCCTCCTTCCTTCTCTCCCCCCGAGTTCCTCCCTGTGTTGTAGAGACCCTTCGACCCATTTTACATGTTCTAAGTGTCACATTGGCTGAAATGTTGCTTGAAACAGTAAATATTTACTCACTTGATCACTTGTAATCAGAATCCCTTTATTAAGATGATTCTTTTGTTACAAACATCAGAACATTCTGAATGATTTTTTTCCTGCATTTAGGCAAAAACTACCAAGAAGATTGTACTTCGTATGGAATGTAGCCAGTGCAAATACAGGAAACAGCTCTCCCTAAAACGCTGCAAGCACTTTGAGTTGGGTGGTGACAAGAAGAGGAAGGTATGTATTTGGGGAGGGTGTCAGCAGTTATGTCCCTTGGAAGATTGTAATGACGCAGTGAAAGAGGTTCATGTTGAGTTCTACTCTTCTGGTATGTAGGGTATATACAGACCCCCAAGTGTTCGTCTTTTAACCTTAGGTTTATGACAGGAACCCCCTGACATTCAACAAGATGCAGTTGTCAATCTTTCAATAAGCTCCATGGAGTCAAGATAGGTTTATGACAGGAACCCCCTGACATTCAACAAGATGCAGTTGTCAATCTTTCAATAGGCTCCATGGAGTCGAGATCAATGGCACTATGTGACATAAAAATGCTACAGTGCCTGTCATCATGGGATATGTTTGACTGTCAGATTCATAATTTGATACAGTAGTACAAGCATATTCAAAATTACAACTCCTTTGACTATATCCATGTCACCATTAGCATTGATATCATCTGGAACAAAAGTTGATAGCTTGCTTATGACATGTACTGTTGAGTGTGAGTATAGTAAGATATTTGAAAGCACATATCAGCCCCTTGCATCTGTCAAAATAACTGCAGAATAGCTAAGAACAATTGAACAAAGAAGTACTGATACATGTCATGTTCAGTCACAAAGCACATATTGTAAGATGATTACCGGGAGTTACTTCCAGCACAACTGTACCTCTCTGGAATCTGTTGTCTTGGTGTCAACTGAGTCATTGATAAAGACAGAGATGGTGGTGCAATGGAAGGAGAATAACTAGCATTTCATGTGTTAATGATATCACTTGGACCTCTTTCTTAATGTCCAGTAGTGAGATCTGTTACATGAGTGCAATATATAATATTTCTCAACAGTTAACATGCTATTTTTTAGAAGTTAACAGCCTATATGTGCAAAAAAATTGTATAAAGTTGAATCCAAATTTCAATTCTAATACTATACTTTTTTTGTTGCAGGGCCAGATGATCATGTTCTAGATGTGTCCATCCTTTGTGTACATTAAGAAATAAATGGGGGAGCATACATATGTCTTGGTGTTCTTTATCGTATGATGGGGTCCGAATACTGAAAAGGACATCACCACCCCTGGTTGCAAGAGACAAGCCAAATGAGAATTTGATGACTATAATGGCTGCCAAGTATGGATCTTGAAATCGGGCCTGAGCAGCAAATAATTTGTTGATGTACTCAACTGTTACAGAGACTAACACAAGTTCTCTTCTCACAGCCAGTTTGCAGGCACATGAAGTGTTGCTGTACTATTTCCTGGATTGTGCTTATATCTGGGTTGCTCAAACTCGACTTAAATACTGTAGCTTTGTTATGCTTACTGGTATGGATGAGCGAGCAGCACAAAAGTTCGAACAGATCCATAGTTTGGATTGCATATTTGATCAACAACATTTAAAATGATAATATTGAATTAAAGAAACTACCCCATAGGGATTCAATGGTTTCTGGGTTAAGATAGATCCCCCAGCAACCTAGGCTGGTCATCAGAGGCTGTCAAATAGTCAAGTCCCGTTGATCCAACATCGTTGGTTGCATATGATTGTTGGATAAATGAAATTAAGTAGTATCAAAGTTTGTGATCGGAAATCGCACAACTACATGATAGGTAACTATATAAACACGTAATAAAAAATGAAATATTCATATTGTTATATTTCATTGTTAGAAGAATGTTTTCTAATCATGCAACCTCTAAAGCTTAGCACAAAACTACTGTTACGGACTGAATGACTTATTAAAATTCTTTAAAAAGGATAGTCTGGAATGGAAGTCACCAGTTTGAAACTGGTACCGCAAAGCTTAAGTGTCGGATTAACAAGACTGATTAATGAATGATTTCGGTAATTTGTTGCAAATGAGGCATGTTGAAGTCAAGTGCGAGACTGTCGGTTTATCGGGTCTGAATAGCACAGATTTAATCGGTTCCCAACATTAGTGTTGGATAAAGCTGATTGTCTGTAGGTGGTGCCTCGGTGACTTGGTTGATTGCATTGGACATTGCTCATATCGTTCACTGGATTGTCTTGAACAGACTGTCAGCTGTCAGCAGCTGGTGTAAGCACCACTTGATCTGATGACATTTATAACACCTACACAAGGTGCAAGAAGTCCAGATCGCAACACAATGGAGCACTTCTGGGATCATGAGCCAGGGACCCACCGAGGCAAGCTACAGGAACACAAGCATAACCTTCATGAGGAATGTAACACAATATCCCAGTTGCAAATTTAGTGTCATGTAAACATAAGATCACATGGTGCTTACACCAGCTATTGGACAGCTTCCATGGTAGAGTGTCCGCGTGGAGAGTGGAAGGTCCGTGGTTCGATCCCCGGCTGTGTCACACCAAAAGACGTTAAAAGATGGTACTTGTTGTTACCCTGTCTGGCGCTTGGCATTAAGGGGTTAAAACAAGGACTGGTCAGCTTGGAGTCTGTATACTGTGTCTTGAGTGGGGTAGTCCTGTTAAACTGAGGCATGGTATATCAGTGGGCTAGCACTATAAATTGGCATCAGTCCGGACTAGAACAAGCAGCTATACACATGTATGCACGTCGATACATAAGTGCAACAATCTTAGACGCGATGTTAAACCCCATTTCACCACCTACACCAGCTATTGATGCTTGAACGTGTCTGAAGGTTCAGGTTTTTTGATGACCAACAGAAAATAGGACCCAAAACATTACACATGAACTCATTCAAATTGAGTTGAAAATGTTACATGTTTTTAAAAGGTCAAAATGTGAAATGCTGGCCAGCTACGTTTTACTGAGCTGTGGCTGCAAATGAACATCACATGCTACATACTCACTTAGTAATGTCATACATACAACATAAAACATTTACAGTGTAAAGATACATTTATGAAGTTATGGGGGGTGCTTAACTTTTGCTCACTTATTTTGCTCATTCTGGTACAATTTATTGCAATTTCCTTCTTGTAAAGTGATAGCGTATATTTTGGGGAAGCAAACTGACAGAGCTATCCAAAAGCAAAAGGAATGTTTTAAAATATTAAACACGATGACACGACCTGTGTATTATCCCAGATGAAAATCAACTACTGGCAGTCTAAATGTGTGAAGCAGTTTTGCTGTTGCACGGCATATGTTGAACAGCTATACATTCAATATCCTGCTTCCCTCCATGCTTATCCGAGTTAGAATTGGTCTTGGCAACCCAAGCTTGTTGTACAACACCGCTAATGTGATTGGGTGGTCGGACTCACTGACTATATGCATATCATCATATCCCAATCGCGTAGAACGATTCTCATGTCATCCACAGAATTATCAGGTCCAGATTTGATTATTCACAGATCGCCGTCCTCCACATGGAATATTTCTGAGTGAGGCATTAAACAAACATAAATGACCATTGATCAACTTTTTCAGTCTGTTTGAAAGTTCGATATAACACTTCCCCTCTGGTTTCTTCATACGGGGATGGCATGAAACAACAAACATGATCCTTACCTTACAACATACTTGAGTGAATGAATACAACTACCAGTATTCTGAATATGTAAGCAATGACAGTACTCGTACACAATCCCCACAGTCCAATACTGGGATCATCCTGAGCACACTTTGAGCCCACGTCTCCATTGTGCCTCTTCAACAACCTGTGTCCACGAGTAGTACAGTGAGCTCTCCAGATGACGGAATTGCAACTTCAATGTTAGTGTACAGGGGTGAGAATCCAGAATGATTCAGCGAACCTTTGGTTAACAACCGTTTGAATTGTCAGTGAAGTAGATTTGCCTCTTCCCAACAATTAAATCATGCCACATAAAGTTGAACCCAAACTTAAATTCTAATACGATACATTTTGTGTTGCAGGCCTAAATGATCCTGTTATAGATGTGTCCATCCTTCATGTACATTAAGAAATTGAATTGACCACATATTTTTTAAAATCCGATGAACACCCCCAAATTATGAACCATGCTCCGATGAAAAGTTATTTCTAACCCTGTGGGTAATAAAGTTGTTGATCCAAAATACCTTTGGTTAACAACTGTTTGAATTGTCAATGAAGTAGATGTGCCTCTTCCCAACAATTAAATCATGCTCCTTGGCAACCGTTTCCACATAATCGTTCTTGGACATGAGATTCCACTCTCTTCCAAGGCAACTTGAAACTGCGGTAGCCATTCTTTCCTCCGTCCAGTTTGCTTGTGCGAAGTCAATCGCTTCCTGTGGCACAAGCATTTTATCAGGGACATGAAATCTGAATCTAACCATATCCGCTGGTACATAGACATTTTGTAACTTTTTATTCAGAAACACAATGATGAGCAGCGTGCTACTGGAAAGTACATCCCTCATTCCAAGAGTGCGGAGTCTGGGACATGTTTGTACCATCTTGACGATACTCGCGTCGTAACTGCTAGTAACATCTTCCTCGTCATGGCAGCAGCTGGGAGCAAGAACGTTGTAATCGACAAACTCTTCCAACATGTTGCCATAGTTGGCAAGAGTATCGCACAGTTTGTCGTAATGCAGAGAGGTCAAGGTCATCAGCACTAGTGACACCAGCGGAATACTGGGCTTGAACAGATCCTCATCCAAGTCGCCCAGAACTTTCACATGGAAATAAACCCGCAGTTGCTTGTGACGAGCCAGATCCTGCCACTGTTCTTCACTCAGATTATTCAGTCTCTGTTTTTTGGGGTGCAGTCTGATGCTGAGCTTTGTGAGAGAAGCCCCGGCGAGATGTTTGATGAGGCTGTAATGGACATGGTTGTAGTCCAGTGCAAGTTCCCGAAGATGAACCAGGTACATCAGAGAGCTCACGGAGTAAGAAGGAAAGGAATTCACCAGACTCAGTTTCTGTAAAGTCTGACAATGTTGCAGTCCAATGGGTAGCGGATCATTATTTGAAGCAGGTGTAAAGGTTAGGCCTCTCATTTGTACAGTTTTCAAGTGTATGTTCTTCTGAAGAAAGTCATGAACGAGTGACCGGAAACCCTTTGGAAATGCTATTTTTCCATCATTGCAAAGAGCAATGCTTTCTATATTTGAACAAACGTTAGAGATTGCTGTGAATATGTCAAATGAGTCGCTATCACAGAAAGTAACTTTCACATGACGGAAATGTCGCCCGTAATCATTAATGCAGCTTATCAGGTCGAGTTTTAAACTTTCATCCTGACTGAGATTTGACTCCGTGCATTCATTGTCCCCCAGATGTGTGAAGTATTTCCAGACTTGTGGGACTGTCAGCACCCTGTGCCAAGCCTGGCACACATACTTCATCTTCAGTCTCTCACGTGGGTGCAAGTAGCTGAAGATACTGGCCAGGGTCACCTCGGGGAGCGCCTCCCACAGAGGAGGCATCTTGGTACCACTCAAGCTAAAAAGTAGAAAAAAGTCAAATGTAAAACCGCAAATACATGAGTTTGTGTGTGTCATGAGCTGGTTGGTGCATTCAGCAATATTCTAGCTATATGGCCTGTAAACAATCAAGTCTGGACCAGACAATCCAGTGACTAATATAGGCAACTATATGGCCTGTAAACAATCAAGTCTGGACTAGACAATCCAGTGACTAATATAGGAAACTATATGGCCTGTAAACAATCAAGTCTGGACCAGAAAATCCAGTGACTGATATAGGAAACTTTGGGGAATGACAAGGGGCCATTAATAACACTTTTTTTTGCAACATATAACATCCTATGCATATAAAAGGTGAGAATGGATGTATATGATTTTATGTGAGAGTCCCATGGAATGCCAAAAAAATATGTATGTTTGAATATATAAAATACATTAAATTTGAGATCTTGTTTAGTGTCCAAGGTCTCATTTTCTTTACTCACCTAAGTTTGGTTTCAAACAAGGAAAATCCAATCCTTATTTTGGATGGGCATTTACAATTTTTTTTATTTGTTGCTGGTACATTTATGCAGACAACCACAATGCACACTGGACAAAAGTAAAAGGTGACCATGCTTGTCGTAAGAAGCGACTAAAGGGATCAGGTGGTCAGGCTCGCTGACTTTGTTGATGCATGTCATCGATCCCAATTGCGCGGATTGGTGATATCAATCACTGGATTGTCTGGTCCAGACTCGATTATTTACAGACCCCTGTCATATAGCTTGAATATTGCTGAGTGCGGCGTTAAACAACAAACAAGCAAACTGGACAAAAAAGCCCCCCTGTCCATGAAGCAGATCTGTCTGTCGATAGGGAAGGGGACAGGCCTAGAAACACATTCACAACGTTATGGGTTTCAAATTTAAGATTTAAGGGCATGTCTCCAAAGAACTGTTTGATTATAAAAGTTATTACAACAATTTAGCTATTACTTTGAAAAGTCATTTATTTAAAAAAAAAAAAAAATATAAAAAAATATTAATATCTTTAATACTACTGTAAACATATCAATGTCAACAGTATCATGTATACCACAATGATTTGTGCCAACTTAATAAATAACAATAACAAATGTTTCAGGAAGTCATTGATATGAAAACATAATACTAGTTTTGTTTTCATAATATGTTTGTTTTACATTTTATTATCGCATAAATGTGCCATATTCTGATTCCTGATTCTGAAGGTGTAACATGTAAATAACAATTTGTTTTACCTTCTGGATTACATACATGCGCTTTATGGCAGTATAGGTATTTGCATCAATAGGTAGGAATGCTACAGGCTTAACAACAAAAAGGTTTATTTTTATTAATATTTGATACAAAAGTCAACGGAGATATGATGAAGAGAATTTAGGGACGTCAACTTCTATATATTGAGGAACACAACGTTTTGGAGTATATACTTCCTCCTTCATCAGGTGAATAAATGCTACGAAGCAGAGAACTTATATATGTATACCTGTAAGAACAACAGATGTAATAAGATAACAAAGGTAAACAATTAAAAAGGGAAGCCAACAGTTAATTGGCGCTGATAGGTGATTAGCAATGAACAAATGGATGCCGACACCTAACAGTTAATTATGCTGATAGGTGACAGCGATGAGATATTGTCGTGGATATCCAGAGATCAGTTTGGAAGGTTCATATAAATAGACGACACATATATATGACACATAGGTAGAGTAATTCTTTCATTTTGGTAAAACTGACTTGGGAATTTAACAGTAAAAGTCACTCATTTACGCTGACGAGTGGGCGTACCTTCCAGCTCACGTAACCTAGCTATGTACACTGCTATCAGCTGCATGGTTCAAGGGGCGGTGAGGATACCGAAGGTCGGGATCATAAAAGTATATCTTACCCTTTCAAATGTATGTCTTCCATTTCATATCTTCATTCTCCATGTGAAGACAAACATTGTTATTTATTTCTACAAGGGAAGTCATCAACACGTGAGTCAGTGTCAACAACAATAACAAATCAGCACGTGATTTACTTGCGGATGACGCGGTCCGCGCACGTTGCTACAGTAAACACTTCCACGGTAAACTGGGCTCATGTCTACCAATGCAAGCGATAAGATTACCGCGCTTGCCATCAGTGGAACCAGTTAGCTTCATTAGTACGAAATACGCATGCCTGGGGAAAGGCATTCTGGGAAATAATTCCAGAAGAAAACAGATTCATATGGTAAGTGCAGAAGGTATATTTTGTTTCAGCTCTAAATCTAACCTTCATACTGTTTAAACAGTTTCGTAAATTATCTAAAATGAAATAATGAAGTTATTAGTTGTCATTTTGGAAGATAATAATCGCAGTTCCTTCAAAATAATACGTGAAAGGCGGGTTGTGCCGAATGCGTTCAGTTTTCGTCCACATAAGTTTATCATAGTAACGAACATCTTCAGGCCGATTTGTCTATATATATGAACACATTTTCGGATAAAGTCTGTTTTATAGCAACCCAGACTTAAAGTTACGTGTGTATTTTACCAGACGTTACCAGAAATGTAGGAAGTTGTCAGAATTATTACTGACGGGCATCATTCAAAATACTGAAATGGTCACCTGCTCATGGTCTTTGTCAGTAGATACCTTCTGCTATTCAAGCATACCCAAATGTAACATGCTCATTCAAAACTAGTCCCATGAACAAATACATATTTTGGAAAATGGTCGACTTGTTAAAAATGCAAAGATGCAAGTGTTAAAGTGTTGGCACACTACATGAAATTGATAATGTGAAACAGGATTGGGTATACATAATTTGTTATCATGCTAAAAGAAACAAGTCAAACCCAGTCTCATTAAAACTCATTTTCCTCTGACATGATACTCCATAGAGGGTTGTATCAGGGGATTTTTCTAATGAGCCAGAAGGTTGAAGCTTCTGAGGCCTCAGTATGAGTGGGCAAAGCATTCATCACATCATATCTGATTTCTGTATCTTAAACATGAATATATTCTGTGAGTTGGACAGAACACAAATATACCCTCCATATTAACCCTTTTGGATGTTGATGCCATGCTCTCAAATGAAAGGATATATGATAATATGCACAATAATAGTCACACTATAATAGTGCTGCATTATATTTTATGATTTCTTATTTCTGATTTCCTTGATTATGTTTGTTTTTGAGATACAGAAATCAGATGTGCTTGTCTAAATGATTTGTTCACTTGTCCTGACATTTTAATAGCCTCAATGCTGATTGGCTGATTAATTAGTTCACCTGATGCGACCCCCTATGGAGGTGTCCTCAGATCTTCACACAGAGAGGTATTGTATAAGAGTAAAAGATCTGATTTTGATGACTGGTTACATCCATCAGATTTGAATATGGCACAATCTGTAACAATTTGAACAGAAGAATTGATGCCAATGGTGAAAGTTTGATAAACTGTTTAATTTGCATGACAATGATTTTGAGGAGGGAGCCTTGGAAACGACTTGAATTTTGTGACTGGAAAGCACAATGACTTTCATAACTCACATACTATATATAGACTTACGTGGTTGTAGAATGCTATCATCACTCTGTCAAAAGGGCCATGAGTTTTGGTAATGTTTAATCATGTCTCATGGATCATGTAACTGTACAAAACCCTGAAATAATTAGATCTGCTGTGTGTATTGTCCATGTTATATTTGAACAGGTGTGGGCCTACATGTTATGAATCGTCTCACTATGATGGAACATGTACATCTCGCAGGTGAAGATGAGGATGATATGTACTCTGGCTTCAATGACTATAATGCCACTTTAGACACAGAGGTAGGTACAGACATGTTGAAGTTCATTTAGATCATGGGAAAAATAAATTTGATGGCCCCATTGGGAATCCAGGGCAGAGATCGCCAGTATCGTTCATGGCTTTATGGCTAACTTATGACAATTACAGTGTGTGCTTACAGTGGGTGTGATTGCATGTCAGCATTGCCCAGTGAAGTGGATTGTTGCTCATGCTGTCAACCACTGTTTTGATAATTTACAGACCACCATAATTATCAAACTTCACTCTGTCTTTGAAATAGTATCACTGTCATGTTGTTGATCATCGTTCCGTTCATGTAAAGGGCGGTGGGGTAGCCTAGTGGTTAAAGCGTTCGCTCATGACGCTGTTGACCCGGGTTCAATTCCCTAGATGGGTACAATGTGTGAAGCCCATTTCAGGTGTCCCTTGCCATGATATTGCTGGAATATTGCTAAAAGTGGCATAAAACCAAACTCACTCACTCACTCACTCTGTTCACATGGTTCATGTAAATGATTAAATAGTGGTAGTTTTATATTGGTTATAATTCAGTAATTGATTTCAGTCTCTCACTCTTGGATGAAAGTTGGCTTCAGATCCATCTTTGACCTGGTTTATATTAATGGGAACAGTTTCATTTATGTGTATTTGAAAGTATTGTTGGGCAGGTCATGAGGACAAATATTGATTCTGTTACAATATTCACTCTCAGTGCATCCCAGCTTGTTTGTTTGTTGTTGTTTAACGCCGCACTCAGCAATATTCCAGCTGTATAATGTCGGTCTGTAAATAATAAAGTCTGGACCAGACAATCCAGTGATTGACATCATGAGCATCTATCTACGCAACTGGGATCGATGACATGCATCAACCAAGTCAGTGAGCCCGATCCCAACCTCTTACAACAAGCATAGTCGCCTTTTAAGGCAAGTATGGGTTGCTGAAGACCTATTCTACATGGGTAGCATCCCAGTTTGTAGAAATGTAGGTTACTGGAAGTGTTTTGTTGAAATCATCACCTGAATTGTTTCTAAACAAAGAACAGATATTGAAAGAAAGAAAAATGTTTATATATTGATGTTATTTTGGATATTTTACTTAATAATGAACTTGATGCGTATTTCAAGTTGTCTGTGTTTCTGTTGTGTTTTAGGATCTTGCACATGACGAGAATTTCCAGAAAGCTGTACTAAGAACAAGCCATGGCAGGAGGCCGCCACCTGTAGGTGAAACTTAATACATGTGCCAGTAGTCTAACTCATCATTTGAAAATTCACCTGTCAGTGAAAGACAAGCATACTTGTAATAACAATATCCTTAATATTTGTGCCAAAGATCATCTTACTGGTAATCCAGGATAAGTTGAGTTGTGACCTGACAACTAACCCCGATGACAATGTATGAGGTCTGCCCCTGGTGCGTACCATTATGAAAAAAGGGGTAGCGGGTGGTCCACGACAAGTAGTACGATGTATATGTGCATGTCCTGCCTCGGCTAACAACGAATTTGCGACTTACTTGGGGTAATGAAACTACTCTCGCCTTGGTACTGAATGAAACCTTCTGCTCTGATGCGCTTTAGCATATATACAGACAGACCCGTGTCAATGCTAGCTTTAGACAACAATGAGATTTATTTCTACATTCTTTACTGTGTAATTTATGACATTATAAGCCAATTCTCAGCCTGAGAATGTATCATTTGGTCATGCTTACCTAGCTTTGACATGTTTATTTGTTTGTAAGTAACTTCTATCAAACAACTTTTTGAGGATTCTGGTATCGACTTGTCACCCCAACCTCTTAATAGTCTTTTGAGCAACACGTGTCCACGGGAGCGTAGTCAATTTCATCATCATGACCTGCACGTGCACATCATGGGTACACCGTCTCTACCTGTAACAAACCAAATATGTTTGCCCAAATTCTGTGCACGGCTTACTCGTCTACATGTTCTGTGAGTTGGTTCAACTTATCCTGTTTTACCAGTAGTTCTGCATTTGTTTTGAAATACTGATCGTTTGGACGTCATCTTTAAATGTTTTTTAAGCAGCTGTATAAAAGATGAGAATTCATTCACCACTAAAATATGCTTTTCCCTTTAAGCTAATTTATGGCTACTGCCCTGCTGTTCATGCTATTGAGATTGTGTTTGAACATATTAGTGTATGAGCTTATGTTTTGTGAGACTTTATTTGTATTTTAGGTTAGTTTTTTTGCTTAGGTAATATCTCTTTACCAGTGTTAGCATGACAGAAAAAACAACCCTGTTTTTCTATAGTTTCTTTGAGAAATCTTTTTCCTACAAACTGCCGTTTTGATGTTCGTTAATGATCTTGTTGAGATGTTTCCTTGTTACATTTTTAGACGGCTAAGATGCCACCTGGAACCTCAGCCCGTCTTGGCACGGCAGCACGAGGCAGGGTAGGCCTGCCATCCTCCATGGGTCGACCAATCACAGGCGCCATACAGGCTGATGGACAAGCTCGACCAATGACAGCAGTGCGGGCAGCAGGATTCACATCGTCTGGCAACAGAGGTACATAAGTCAACATGGATCGCCGAACTAATAGTTATAGCACACAGACTGGGATGGTTTTGTAATTTGTTTATTTGCATCAGGACTCATGAGAAATTTGTATTTCCTCTCATTTGTTGAGTAAATTTCTGAAAATGCAGCAAATTCTTAGATGCTCATGTTATTAGGAAAAATAAATGGATAAGAAATATGCTCCAATGTTACCAGTTGTAGGTTCAATTCTCTCTCTCTCTCTATGATTTTGTGACATAGAGGTAACAATATTCTCTTCCGTCTGACTACAAGAAGAACTTCTTGTGTTTGAAACTAAACTGTGTTGGTATCTGTCCAGGTGTTGGATTTGACCCCATGAATCAAGCAGGGCGTGGCCCGGCCCCTCCCCTGGAACCAAAACCCGAAGACAGGTGAGATACCACTGTTAACCAGTGTTGTAGGATTCCTTGTGTCAAAGGTGCACTTGGCTTGAGACATTTGGCAGTCTGAGCAAGTATCCTTCAAGCCATTTATAATCTGCTTTGTCTGCTTTCTCAAATTGTGTGAGGTATTTTTCTGTCTAGCTGTTACTGATTGCCCATACACATCTGTCCCAAATGTTTTGAATTTGTTACGAATTTGCAACTACAACTATTTCCACAATTCATACGAATAGTATGATATCTCAGCAAACAAATTCACAGGGACTAAATTTTCATAGATACAGGTAAACACATGGTAAA